AACACCAGCTTCTCAGATGGAAAAGTACTTTATTAGTCATTTTAGCAGCACAGCATCATCAAGGGCTTGCTTCAGGCAGTGTATAGAAGGCATGGAGCTGGCCCGGGATGCTGTGGGTGGTGGTACTTACCTTGCCCAGCTCCCAGCTGAGACTCTCCCCCTTCCAGGGGCTGCCAACAGCCTTCCCTGGCTCCTGCCTCCTGCTGTGTCCCTTCCTCCTTCATCCCAACAGCAGTGCTCCCCAGGAGTGACTGCTTTTCTCAGATAAATGGTTTAATTAGCTTTTTATTGACTCAAGTGAGCACACTCCTCGGGCAGCGGCTGGGAGAGGAGAAGCAATGTCCCAGGGAACACATCCTGCATCCCAGGCTGGAGGGATAAAAAGGCCTTTGCCCCATGGAGTCACAGGTTGGATGAGAAAGAGCAGATCCAGCCACAGGAGGGGTTTCTGGTCCCTGCATGAGCACCCATGTGAGCATCCCTTGAGTGAATTCCACCCTGTATTCCCTATGGGAAAAGAAACACACAGAGGGTGGGAATGTGGCAGGAGGACAAATCCAAGGTGGGAGAAATAATAATAACAACAACAACAACAACAACAACAACAACAATAATAATAATAATAATAATAATAATAATAATAATAATAATAATAATAACAATAATAAAGCACCTGCTGAACAGCAACGCTGGAAATCAAAGCACGAACACCAAATACGTCTGCAAGACGCAGGGAAAATTTTTAATTTTGGAAACTGGCAAAAAGATTTGAGATAGCTGGAGAACAATCAGCGCTTCCCTTTGTGCCTGGAGGGACTGACAAACTTTGCATAAACAATTTTCCTTCCCTCTGATGTGGAAAGGCTGCCACGGAGCAGTGGGAGAGGCCAGAACCGGTCCCTACTGACTTGAAGAAAGCCAAGCCCAAAAAGATTCCCTGAAAAATGACATCAATGGCCTGAGAGCAGTGGGATGGGGGTAAGACTGTGGGAGAGGGGGAGCAGTGTCCCTGATTTCTGGTCCAGGGACCCTGAGCTGCTTCCTAATCGTGAGCCCTCGACCTGGCCACCCTGATCCTGTTGGAAAAGATATTTCTCTGCCAGGTTAAATGCCAAAACAGGGTGGGGAGAGATTAAAAATCATCCCCTTCCCCAGGCAAGCTCTCCCAGCCCGCGTCATCCCGAGATGTGCTCTGGCACCGGAATATTAATGTGATGGAGGATGCTGTCCACCTCAGCCAGGCACCAGCTCCAGCACAGGAGAGAGATACCAGGAGCTCAGTTTGTGTTTGCCTGAGCCAAGGAGAAAATCTAATTAAACATGGCATCAGGGCTTGGAGGAGCTGGGGATGGGGCAGGAATATAAAGTGCGGCCGCTTCCCGCAGATCAGAGGGCAATATTAATAAACCCACGGAGGGGGACTGCAGGATCAGCTGGTGATATTGATAAATGTAAAGCAAAGACAAAGCAGCCAGGGAATATTGGATGGTAAAGCTGATAAAAAGACAAGTGGGGACAGCCAGCCCTGCCATCCTGGCGGAGGGAGCCCTGCAGCCACCCGCCTGCTTCCCAGGCAGGGGATGGCACAGAGCACCCCAAACAGGGGGGGACTTGGGCCCGTGGGCTGTTACCCCTATTAATGTGCCCCCAAACCAGCAGCCCCCAGAGCAGCACGGCTGCCCTGCACATCCCAGAGCCAGGTCTCAGCAGAGAGGAGGCCCAGGCACAGGATCTCCATCCAGCTGGGAGCTTGGGATGCACTGGGGATGGGGAGCAGGGACAGCAACGGCCAGGGGCTGTGTGGGAGAGCAAAGCAGGGCGAGCTGGGAGCACAGAGCACTGGAGATGCTCCCTGCTTGCTCCATCAGCCACAGGGATGTGTGTGGAGGCAGCAGGGATGGGGCTGAAGGCGGAGCAGGGGGCAGGAGGAGTACGTGGGGGATGGCACAGCCTCTGCAGCTCTTCCCTGTTACCTGCAGCCTTTCATCTCGAGATGGAAGTTTGTTTTCTTCTCTTCCACCCTCGGTGCATTGACCTTGAGTGTCCCTGAAGCCCCTCTCGCAGGGATCACACTCCCACGGCCGTGCACCCACCGCTCCCTCCCCTCTGCCAGCAGCACGTCGAGCCAGGGCATCGAAAAGAGCCACTGAGTGCGTTTTAAATAAAAGATCGCGTCTTTCCGAGCTATTGGAGTGATGATTTAAACATGAAGTCAAAGCCAGTAATGGTGTTGTCAGAGCCGTGGCGGTAAATCCAATCAATAATTCACTGATAGCAGGAACGGTGGCTCCAGCCAGACCTGCCTGCGGAGGGCACGGAGCTTCCCCCTGGAGCAGGAGGTCCCTCCCCTCCTGTCTCCCTGCCAGCATCACCCACGCTGGCAGCAGAGGTTTGGCCCCCACTGGGGATGGGCAAGAGCCAGGAGCCAGATCCGGAGCCCCACAGGAGGGGAATGCTGCCCGGCTCCAGGGGGTGGGAGGTGAAATGAATTTCTTACCTGGAGATGGATGTTCAAAACGCTGGAAACACCTTGGCTAAGTGATGGCAGCTCAAGTTTTCCTCTCAGCTCTTGTGCCCTTTGAGAGAGGCCAAATCAGTCCCAGCTGTCCTTGTGAGGCTTAAAAACACCGACAAGGGCCCCTGCCCCAGGCCATCAGCACAGCTGGGTTGCCCACCTGCCACAGGGGTACTGGGGGTGCCTCATTCTGTGACCCCTCGCCCCTCCAGCCCAGAACCCACATGCCCCTGGATGAGCTCCTGCAGCATCATTTACCTGCACAAACACCTCAGTCACAGCCCAACCACCTCTTTTTGCCCTCCCGTTCCCTCTAACACAGCAGAGATCAGTTCTGCTGTAACACAGGATCCAGATGGGGGGCCTGGATCCCCACTTCATCCCTCCTCCTTCCCACAGGGCTTCACCAAGACTGGAGCAAAGCTGGGTGGCAGCACCTAAATGACTCCCAAGCATCTGCCCACCTGTGCTGGGCACAGGGTGTTGTGGCACCCACAGCAGGATGGTCCCTGATACCTGCACAGAGGTGTGCAAGGTCCATGTGGGAATACCCAGGGCAAGCTGGGGCTGCCCTGGGCACAGTTTTGGGGAGCAGCTGGCGAGGAATGTGGAAGTGGCCATTGTGTGCATCTCTGCTCCCCCCTGGGGAGGAGTTTTACTGGGACTGGTACTCAAAGATGCTGCACAGCCCTGAGCCACATCCCCAACACACTGAGGGGTGTGAGGGCAGCACAGCTCCCCAGAGAGCAGCCAGCCCCTAAAAACATTGCATTGGACTCGGTGGGCACCCCGGCACTGGGGGGCAGCTCAAGGACAAGCAGGAGGCCAGACAGACAGAAGCAGCCCCTCCATCCCGGCCCTGTGGGCGGATACACAGAGGACAGAGGTGCTGGAGGTGGTCGAGGCAGCCTCTTCTCCTTCCATCCTCATCACCAGCGCCGGGAGCTGCCGAGCCGGCACTGCCACCTCGTGGCACGGCCACCGGCAGACACTGGGGATGTCCCCACTGCCCCCACATCGTGGCACCACACACCGCACAGTCCTGGACATGCTCCATTGCTTGACAAAGCCTTTATTACCAGGGCAGCTGCTGCCGCCTGAATCAGTGCCAAAAAATGGCAAAAAACACCAAAGGCAGCAGGCAAAGGGGAGGGAAGAGGGGGTCAGCCTGGCTAGAGGAGGGGGATGAGAAAGGGAAGCTGTGGCAGCAGGGAGAGTGGGATCCCTGGGCTCTGAGGGGACAGCATCACCCTGTCAGATGGGATTTGGGCTCTCTCACTTCTTAGTCCTTTCCCAAAAGCAGGATCTGAGCATCAGTGTCCATCTCGGTACCCATCTCAGCTTGGACATGCTGCAAATCCCAGTGGGAAAACACGATTTGGGGAACCCCACTGCACCCCATGGGATGCTCAGGACAAAGAACAGCCCAGCATCCCAAGAGCAAAGCATCCCTACCCCCCAAACACCTCTGGGGCAGCCCACCCCCTCCCCTCAGCCCCTCCACCCAAATCAACGAGAGCGACAAGTCTTTTTATAGATATATTTTTTTTTAGCAAATGTTTATTTATATCAAAATACAAAACATTTCTGAAGCAGGGTAATGTTACATGAGGAGCAAGTTAATCGATTCCAAAACCCATCATTCTCCTACAGCATGGCTAGTTGTACGTAACATTGCAACACTGCCAGAATTTCTTATAGTGGGTACATTAAAATAATAATAAAAAAACCAAAACCAACCCAAAAAGTCAATCTATGAACATGCAATGTTACCGGCGATAAATTAAGTACTCAGCAGGCCTTAAAATCCCAACAGGCAGAGACCGAGGGACCAGCTACTCCCAGTAAGGCAGGGCTTCAAACTCTCATTTCTTCCAATTTTTTGTTGGCTTATTTAGCATTTACTCGTCAACTGACAACAGTCCAAGAGCCAAAAGGACCCAACTTTCTTGGCAGAGTGGGATTATTGCTTAGAGCTATCAAAGCAGCCCCAGCTCCCAGCCGGCCCCAGGGGAAGGGCAGGGAGAGGGCTCGCAGGGCAAGAGCCAGGGGTCTGCCTTGGCTAAGCGCTGCGGAGGTCGGGCTGATCTGGAAGATGTAAAATCCCCCCGGATGAGGGGGCTCAGTGGGTCGTTATCCCCTTGGAGACCAGCTCGGGAATGCCGGGAGGAGCGGGCAGCGCTCCCGGCGAGGTCTCGGTTCCCTGCCCAGGGCAGGATAGCACCCAGTCGGAAGGAGAGTTTGGGGTGAGGGACCCCCCCCACTCCGTGCCCCTCATCGCACACCTGGGGAGCGATGCTGAAATTTGGCTTTCCCTCCCCGTGGCCCGGAGCAGCTCCGGGCCGTTCCCGGGGATGCCGATGCCGAGCACGCGGCCACCGGTCCCTCCTGCTGGCATTTACTGGCCCTGGAGAAGGCCCAGAGCAACAATACAGGTACAGAGAGATTATAGAGAGCGCGGAATAAGTTTCATATAAGGCTTTGGTACAGCACCATCATGTCAGATTTATTTGTAAATCGTTTACAGAAAAAAAAAAAGCTTACTGAAAAAATAGTGTTTTGTTTCTCTTATTTTTTTTTATAATTTTTTTATTATTATTTTCTTCTGAGGAACATACCTGAAAGTTCAAAAATTAACCCTCTAGTTGCCGTCTGGGCTCCCATCAAACGCTAGTTTTGCTGTGTGCAGTTCCAAAACGAAGTGACTCGATCCCAAATCCCACTCAGGTGTGACACAGCCCACCCCGTCTCACAGCAGTCACTAAAAAAATCAACACCACAGAGATTCGGCAGCTGATCGCTACTCACTGTTTAGTAAAAATTAAAAAAGGATTTAAAAAAAAAACCAAACCAAAAACCTTAACAAAAATTAAAAAAGAAACTCAAAAAAAAAATAAAATTTAAGTCACGACAACGAACGTTATGGAACCAGCGGTACTAAAGTTTCTTTTATTGTTATTGTTATTAAAAAAAGTCAGTTCCACTGGTTACCATTGAAACAGCACCAAAGAGCACCCTAACGTGTGTTATACATCGTAATACTCGACATTCAAGAGATGGAAACGAGGTTGGATGGTCTAGTCTTTATATCCAGAGGCAAGAAATTCTTCTTAAAAAGAGGAAAAAGTTGTTCCACACAACCAGACCCCTGTTGGGTCCGGAAGAAAATCCTGCCTTAGGGGAAAACTATGGAGTTAGGAGGGAATTAAATCAAGAGCTACCTGTGGAGGTCTAGGAGGGTTCAGAGAGTCTACAAAACCTATTAAAAGGGGATTAAAAAGTCTGGGCTCCCTCGGAGAGCCAGGGATGCTCCCAAGGGAGAGGTGGAGATGCTCCCGGGGGGATTTGGGGATGCCCCCTGGGTGATCCAGGGATGCTCCCCTAGGAGCTGGCAAGGAGGTGTGACCTCCAAATGCCCAAAGGATGGCTCGGGAACCTTATGGCAATGTAGGCATTTCCAGGAGGATTTCTACAGGGCTTTCCCACATGGGAATGCCAAGGGACTGGAGCCTGCACAGCCGTACAGAAGGTCCTGCACCCCCTGGGTCCTCGGGAGCATCCCCTGCCTGCTCTCTGCCAGCCCCGCAGAGGGGAAAAAAGGGAAGTTTGGCCTTAAAGTGCATCTGGGAGGGCAGGGAGCGTGTGCCGGCATCTCCCACCGAGCCAAAACCTCCCCGAGCGGAGTCGGGCGCTTCCCAGCGCTCCCGCCGGCCGAGCGGGAAGAGCCTGGGAGGGGGCGGGAAGCAAACACCCCTCCCGGGAAAAGCGAGCTCCTGCCAGATGCGCGCGGCTGCGGCGGATGGAGGCAGCGGGGATGCGGGAACAACCAAACCAAACCAAACCAAACCAAACCAAACCGCGGGAAGCAGGACGATGCTGTGGGCGCGGCCGAGAGGGAGGGAGGGGCGGAGCAGCTCTTGATGTGTCTGTTTGGCATCCAGAGGGTTAACGCTACTGTGGAAAGTGTGCTTTGTAAACATTTATATCTTTCCTTTTTTTCCTGTTTTTTTTCTGTAAGTGATTCGAAAGGAGAAAGCTGCCCGCCCCCCCCTGCCCACCCCCGGCAATACCCCAAAGCCCCACCGGGGGGACGGTGGGAGGGAAGTGCAGCCCCCCCAGCCCGGACACCGACCGGTGAGAAATCTCATCCCTTCTCTTTCTCCTTACATCCTTTTTTTTTTTTTTTTTAAACATATAAAATACTCACTTATGTATTTACCGCTAATAAATGCAAGTTAGTCCCACCAAACATGCTTTGCTTCGATATCAAGAATTGGTGCTGAACAAATCTTGGCTTGATATTAGAAACATCCCTCCCCCAACCCTCCCCAACCCGACGAAGAAGACAGAAATATCATGGAAAATACAGGTGACACCTACGGAGGACACGGTGCCGCTGTGAGGGGCCAGCTCCCGGGATTACATTCGTGCCTCAGCCTGGCAGGACATGGCATGACCACGGTGAGGGACCTCTGCCTGGCTCTGGAGGGGTGGAAGCGCTCGGGGTCTGTGCCACCATCCCCTCGGGGACATCTGAGCCCAAAAAAGAAGCATCTGCATCCTCCCAGAGCCAAGGATTGTGGGACACAGCACAAGGGGTAACCACTGCCCAAAGCCAATCCCCAAATCCTGCCCCAGCGAAGGCAGAGGGGGTGGTTTGCTGCCCCCTGGCATTGCTCAGTCCCAAAACTGGCTCCTCATCCCCCCCCTGCCACCCACGGGCACACAGAGAAGGGGGTCCGGCGGGTCCTTGCAGGAAAAGCCCCAAGTATCCCCAGCACATTCCTCATCACTGGGACAGGGAGAGCCTCATATCCCACCCATCCGGGCAGGGAGAGCCCCCATCCCACCCCAGTGCATACCAGCAGCCTCCCCAGCACCGGCAAACCCCGACGGCCAGAGTTCCTCTGTTTGGTGGAGAGGTACTGACCTGCCTACAGAGAAGGTTCCCTGCTCCAGCCACATGTGGGGACCCACTGTGGCCACCTGGGTGGCTCTGAGGGGCTCCACAAACCACAGGAGGGTTTCAGGAACCCTCAGGATTTATGAGGGCGGCGAGGACGGGCGGCCAACAGCGCCCAGCGAGGCAGTGGTGTGGGGACCCCATCCCACAGCGCGTCCCCCATCCTGTGCCACCCCCCAGGTCGCAGCCGGCCTCGTCCTTCCCGCTGCGAGCAGCGCCCCCGGAGCTGAAATTTGTCTTTTTTCTCTGGAAAGAAAAGCCCTAGGTGGAAACACCACCCCCTCGCCGTGGCCCTGGGCGAGCTGGCAGCAGGCCCAGGCTTCCCCATGCCGGGGCTTTTTCCCTTTTCAGTATTTTTCCCTATTGAAACAGCAACGTGACAGCAAACAGCGGCGATGCCGGGACGGCAGCCGGAGCCGGCGGATCCCCCGGAGCCCCACGAGCCCCCCGGCCTCGCCCAGCCCTCCTCTCCCTCGCCACCGTATTGCTCAAACAGCACTAGGCATGGATACAAAAATAAAACAGCTATGTGACTTAGATATATATAATTTTTATATATATATATATATATATTTGTATATATATTTTTGTCTATTTATAGGTGGATGGAGAAGCAGAGAAGCTGAAGCGCAATATAATGTAAAAATACTCGCTCTGCTCCCGCTGTTGAGACTCTCCCCCCCACCTCTGACAGCCTCTCTCATGCTGCACAGAAGTTTCTGACACCTATTACTAAGGAATTATTTTAAATATTTATTCTCCCCCCCCTTCTAAAATAGAAAGTAAATATATATTTGTTTAATTTTATATACAATGCGGTTTCGATACACCAATATCGTTTCTTTAGATAGAGATACTGGGGCTCATTTCTCAAGGTTGGTTTTTTTTTTAAATTTTATTTTAATGTAAGTGCTGGGGGGGGGAGTGGGGGGATATTAGAGGAGCTTTCAGTCCTGGGAAGATGGGCACCCCCTTTTGCAGCCCTCTTGGTCCCCTGCAACCTCAGGAGGACAAGAATAAAAGTCCCCCTGGGAGAGAAAGTGTCATTTTGATGGTAAAGCCAAAATCTGGGCAAATTCTCCTCCCTGGGGGATGCCAGCTTCCCACCCCACTGCAACCAGTATAAAAATCCTTAGCTACCACTACAGTACATGCTTTCTGCACCTGAACCCCCCAAGCCTGGACCAGCCTGTCTGCCCCCCCTTTCCCTTGCCCACCCCCTCCCCAGGTACGGTCCTTCCTCCATCCATGCACTATCAAAAGTCAGCCAGAGCCCTGGGATTGGGGATGTCCTGAGGTCACCCAGCATGGCCAGGAAGATGCCTATGCCACACAATGACGGGGAACACACAGCTCAGGCAGCACAAACCTGCCAGGTCAAAACCACAGAAAAGGGGAAAATGGGGAAACACGGCACTGGGCAGCTCCCCCTTCATCCCAGTCACCAGGGGAGGGGAACAGCTCCCATCTCCAGCCTGTTCCCAGCACCAGCATCCAGTCCTTTCCACATTGGGATGTACCAACTGATGGGAATTAAGTGCAATATTGAGTTTCTTCTTCAGCTGGCACCAGCATTGCCAAATCTGGATGCTGCTTCCCAACCCTCAGTTCCTGGATCGTGCATTCCCTGACAGATCTCCAGCAGGAACAAGTGTGCTTCCCACCTCTCCTCCCCAGCAAACACAGGCAGAGGGGAGTCAAGATTCACAGAAACAGGAAAAAAAAAACAAAACCACAAAATTAAGCTGAAGAGGGGGAATGGGAGTAAACATCCTATTTCCTTTAGGGGTTACACTGTGCCCAGACAGCACAGGGATGGGCTCTGGAGCATGGAGGGAATACAGCCTGAATTTGGCTGCCCCCGAACCCAGTACTGGCTCTGGCATCACTGATGACCAAATCCCCTCTCTGCCTCAGATCCTCAAAGTCCTGCTAATGAGGTTTAAAATAAAGACACTGTGAAGAACATCTCGTCCCTCCAAGGAGTCACTGTTGGGGCCGGCTGGCACAGCCGGCGCCGCGTTCCTCAGCTCAAGGGACAAATTTAGCTGTACCCCCGTCTCATCCCTTCTGACTCACGCTTTTCTGGGAAGAACAGATGCAAAGCAAAATGCTTTCACATGAGTAACCGGAGAGCAGCATCTAGAGGGACTTGAGGGAAAGGTTTCTGCGTGGTGCAGCTTTTTCTTTAAACGATGGCACCAGAGATGAGACAACATTACGTCCCCCTCCCATGTCACGTCCCGTGTCACGCCCCACGCGCGTCGGACACGCAGAGGAGAGGACCTGTCCCTCCTGCTTCTCAATGTCACGGCCCCCGGGTGAGTCACAGACAATGAACAAAGCAAAAATAAAAAATGGAGGGGGGGAGATAATGAGGGGAAAAAAAGCAATTTGTTGTGTGCAGCAGGTCACGCCTGCAGCGTGCCTCTCCATTCCCAAATTCCCCTCGGGCTCCAGCTGCTCCCAGCCCCTTCCCTGCTTTGCCCATCCCAATAATCCCCCTTTCAGCACAGCTCTTAACTCTCCCCTAGAGACACACATACCCCTGACATGCAAATCTACTGAATTCTGCAAACCTATCTACCTTTGTCCTACGCTTCTCTATCTATTTATATCTCATATATACAGTGCATTTTACTCCACTTCCTTGAAAAGATTTCCTTCCACAAAAAAGCATCGACTCCGCCAGCCCGGGGCCGCAGTGAGCCCACGTGGGACGTGTGGAAATCCCTGAAGGTCCAGCCTCATGGAAAAATACCCCCAGACAAGAGCTACAGCTGAAACCAACCCGAAACTCTGAGAACTCCCAAATCTACGTCACTGCCTGAAGCAGGAGGAGAAACCAAAATGCCAGGAGGGTTTTGTCCTGACACAGGCTGCAAGGTGTGAGCAGCAGTAAGTCACGAACACGTGTCGTGCCCGGATGCCATGAGACATGACTAAGCCCTGCCTGGGCTGCTGAGCCCAAACCCAGAGCCCTCAACACCCCCAGAGGTGGGTACAGAAAATTATTATTCCTTTTATATTCCCTTTACCAAACACTGTCACCTCCAGACTTCCTCCAAAGCAGGTGGCACCGAGCCAGCTGACAAGGTGATAAACACCAGATCAACAGCCTGGAGCCCAGCAGTGCCCCAAATCAGCCTCCAAGTCACAGGTGACCTGCACAGGGCAGCAGGAATGAGCATCCCACTGGGAAAAGCATCACCTGCTCACAGAGACACTCCTCACCACCCTGGGGGCACGTGGAGACCCCCCTGCTCAGGGGGACAGACCACAAACCATGCTGAGGTTCACACTGGGAAGAGACCCCGGGACCCTCCAGCTCCCCACATCCTACAAACCCACTGCTCCAAGTGCCTCCGGATGCAGTAAGTGGCAGGCACAGAAATGGGGCCCCACAAACGAGCCCTAAACGCTCCCCTTCCCCCCCACTTACAGTAACTTGCATTTTCCTTCATGTCAACACTGAGAAACCGAAACACTGCTGGGTTTGCACGGCAAAGTCACCTCAAAAACACGTGGGTGAAAGCTCAGCAAGTCCTGCTGGAAAAGCAGGCAAAGCGCTTTCCCTGCCCTTTTTCCCTGACTGCACAGGGACACACAGGTTTTATTGGAGAGGCTGCGAGGGACGGCACCCCACGACCACCCCCTCTTTCCAAGGGATCTCAGCAACACCCTATACCTACCTCTCCATGTCATCTCCCCCAGCTTGGGGTGCCCAAATCCTGCAGCCCCCACAGTGGCATGAAAACGGCACTGGAGCATCCCCACGGTGGCCACCTTGCAGGCAGAGGCACCAGCAAGGACCCCCCAAAACTGGGTTAGCACCCCTGCACTGACGCCTCAGAGGAGCCCAGGGACAAGTCTCCTTGTGATTCAGAGGCATTTTTTCACCGTGGTCCAGGATTTGCCAAGGGACCTAATGAAACATCGCATTCACAATGTGCAAGGAGGAATCGTACGGTTACTGATAAAGAAAGAGCCGTCTACCTCAGACCAGCTTATAAAATAAGAGAGTTTGGCCCAGGAAGATAAAAATCAAGATATATTTTGCAGCATGAAAGAAAAAAAAAAAAATTAAAAAAAAAAATGAAGCAGCAGCAGCAGCAGCTGTGTTTGCAAACCACCAAAGCGGCACGGAGTTCAAACGGGGATGAAATGGGGGAAGCGTTTGGCATCGTCTGACACGGCTTCGATGTCCCAGGTCCGCGGGAGGAGAGAGGAGCGACCCCCTGGAGGGCATGGAAACCAGAGGGCTGGGAGAAGCGAGGAGGTTGCCAAAGCAAGAGGTGAGCCAGTCAGCCAAAGCACGGCCCGAGTCTATCGGAAGGTAACTCGGTCTAGCAGGGAAAGGAGTTAAGGATGGTTTTAGGGAGGAGCTGCTTCCATGAGGCGCCCGGGCGGGATTTCCCACTCCAGCAGCGTGGCAGGTACACGGCTGAAAGAGAGAGGGCTGCAGCTCCAGGCTCTAAAGGTCGAAGACCATGAAAAGCCCAGTGGCTCAAAACACCTGCAAAAGGAAAACAACTCTCAAAAGACTGACGCAGCAAGCCGGCACGCTCCGTCAACCTTCCCTGCACTCCAAGTCCTCTAGAGCTCCTTAAGACAGGATGGGGCACAGTCCCGAGGTAGCAACCTCAAGAGCCTGAAGACAGCGCCTTGCCCATCCGAATGGGCGTCATAAACAGTTTGGAAAGCACTCAAAGGAAAAAGCAACCCTCTGTTGGAGAGGCTGAGGCAACGAGAGCGAAAGGAAAAGCGAGTTGGCCACGGCACGGCCAGCACAAAGCCTCCACACCTCCCCCGGCCCCGATGGTCACCTGTCCGTGGGGAGCAGCCCAGCCCATCGGGAGCAGCCCAGCTGAAGTTACCAGCAAGCTGAAGTGAGCCAGGCAGAGTTTTCCCCGCTGCTGAGCGGGAGAATGGCATTAAATCAATTCAGATCCGAGTGGATTCTAGGGAAAACCCTAAAAACACACTCAAATAAAAGAAATCTGCAGTCATACTGTTAGCAAAGTTGAATTCTCACTCTGAGAGTTGAGGTTCTTACGTCAGGTCACTCGTCACGTCAATAAAAGGCCCTGGTGCAGGCTGGAAAGAGAGGGACATTTCTGCCAGACCCTCCCTCCTTCCCGAGACAAACCTGCTGATGGTTTGAAGACCACCTACACAAAGTTGTTAAAGCTCAGAAATATCTCGTTATTGATTCAGAGGATTCATTGTCCAGTGGTTCAAACCTTACTGAGGGCCTGGAGATTGGAAAAGACGCGGTGCTCTGCTTTTGTTGGTCGAAGGTTCCCGAGCATCCTGCTGGGAGAGGAAGCACAACCTCTGAAACCAGGTGTTTTTTGGCAGAGCAATAGACAGGCTCCGGCCTGAGAGCGTGGCGTGGCCGGAGTGCCGGATCACAACCCAGAGCTCACGTCTTTCTCCAAACATCTCAGCCCTTGGAGGTTCAACCAGCAGCAAGAGCAAAAACCAAGGCAAAGCAGAATTAAAGGCGAGATTGCAGAGAATCTCTTGGCAATTCTACCTGGGAATAAACAAAAGTTTCATATGCAAATAGAGAGCCTGGGGCAAAAACATGCCTGCAGGCTCTTCGGTTCTCCTGATGCTTTTTCTACAGCCTGAATCCACTCAAAGCCAGAATATCTACATGAAACACTCAGTGTTTTATTCCCAGGCAGGCTGGAGGGTTTAGCACTTTACCGCAGAGGAAGAACTGTGCAAACCTGGATACAGCGGTTGATTTTACCACTTCAAACTAAAAAAAAAAACCAAAAAAAACCTCTAAATATTTTAAAGGTAGGGATTGCTTGGTATCAGCACTAAGCATTTATGTAGCACTTGCAGTCTGCAGGCCACCAAGTGCTTGTCCAAAGTGCTCAAATATGACTTATCCCCATTTTACAGATGGGAGAACTGAGGCACAGAGAGGTTAAGTGACTTGCCCAAGGCCACGCAGTCAGAGAGTGGAGGCAGAGCAGGAAAGCGAGCCCGGCTGTTCTCGGAGCGGGTTCCACCTTTCCTGCTAAAAAAACAAACCAAAAAAACGGCCTGTGCAATCCAGAAAACCACCAGCCACCAAACCTACCCTAAGTACTTCGAAGAGGAAATACATTCTGGTGAAGAGTTAGAACAGCATTACCGAGGGGAACAGGGGGCAAAGGGAGGGACACGACCCTGGCGGGTGTCACAGCCGACACGGCCGGGCTGGAGCGGGAGAAAGGAAGGGGGGAACGGTGGGACCAGCAGGAACGTGTGTTAGGCTGACGCGAAACGCTGGGCTTAGCTTTGCGCGGCCGCTCCGAGGAGCCGTCCGTGTCCATCCGCAGAGCTGGGCACCTCCAGCCGCTCCCGCCCGGGCTCAGCACCTGCCGACGGAGGCTTTTGGGACCAACGCAGCCAAACCCCCTCCGCTCGCACGCCTGCGTCGCCCCGGTTCGCGGTTACGAGTCAAGATTAAGCATCACACACGGTAAGAAATCACATCACTGCACGGCACCGAAGGACATTTGCCTGTGATATACAGAGTGTCGGGAAGAATTAATCGCAACCACCCTCTTCAAAGCTGGCACGCGCCGTACCTGGAGGGGGAAACGCCCTCGCGTGAGATCGGCCCCGCACCCGCGCGCTCGCACGGCGCCCAGAACGCGTCACCGAGGCTCAAAAGCATTTGCACAGACAAAGGGTGATTTCTCACGCCTCAGACTGATTGGAAGGCTCGGGGGGATCTTTCTGGTTTTTCCCTTTCAGAGATAGGTAAGGAAAGATGTCACGCGTGGTTTTGCTGTTACCTTCACGTCAAAGGAGGCTGGGAAGGGGGAGGCGGGGAGATTTTCACAATTACAGCTTTCCTGGGATTATTTGGTCATGTTTTTTTATCATAATCAGATTCACGGGATTACCAGTTCCTGTCTGGCTTGTTAGGTTCTTGTCAATTAATTACACTCTGTGTCATTTAATTTCTTCCGGCGATTGAGGGCCAGCTGCTCAATCCCATACTTTCTCCCTAAACGCGCACTGCGGACGCAGATGTCAAAAGCTCCGTCTGTGCCTTTGAAGCCTAGAGATCTTTCCCAAAACCGAGGTGCAACACCCCCCACCCTTCCCACCCCACCACCGAAGCCGTCTGGGGTGGGGGGAGAAGCGGATCCGAGGAGCACCCAGCCCAAAGCATCCTCCCCGTCTGCCCCAGGGTCCCCCCAGCTCGTCCCCGCCACGAGCCGCCGAACCCCCTGGCAGAGGCAGCAGCATCGGGGTGTCCCCCCTCTCTCCCATCACCTCCATCCCCATCAGCTCCCTCCACCGCTCCTGTTCAACCTCCCGGGGCCGGCGCAGGCTAAAGCAGGGTGGCGTGCCCGCTGGTGTCATCGTGGTCCACGCTGTTGAGAATGGCTGTCTGGTCTTCGGGGAGCTGCCGGTGGCAGAGGTCGTCCTTCAGCGCCGAGAGCCGGGCGAAGGGGTCCTGACGAGGGTGTCTCTTCTTCTTGCGGAGGCAGACAGCTTCGTCAGGCGACAGTACCTGAGAGCTGGGAGGGTGCTGAACCTGGGAGGCAGAGCCGTCTGGGAAGGGGGGAGAGAAGGCAGATGGGACCGGAGCCAGCAGCAGGGCAGAGCGCTCTGCTTGCTGTAAAAGGGAGGTTACAGCAAGCCTGGCCCTGAACCCGCCGCTTGGCAAGAAGGGAGCACGTTTTGGGCATCAGGGAAAATAAAATGAACACTCCAAAATCCAAAATAAATAGAGAAGGGAGATGCAGGGAACAGGAACTCGGTTTGGAGGAGCAAGGGAGGGACAACCCACAGGCAAGGAGCCATCCCTTTGGGAGGCAGGGAACAAGGGCAGCATCCAGGAATGGGCTTGGGGACCCCCAGCATTGGAGCCGGCAGGGACCTGCCCAAGCTCTGCCCACAGAGGGACAGAAGGGATGCTGTTGGGGACCGCAGGGTCCTCACACTCACTGGGTTGTTTTCTGGATTTCGAGGAGCCCTTGGATGACTTTTTGGGCTTCTTTATCCGCTGGTATTTCAGAGCTTCGAGCCTCTCAGGTGCAGCAGCGTCCCCGGGCGGAGATGGACGTTTTCTAGGAAGGAAAAGCAGACAGGCGCCGTCAGCGGCTCTCGGCCACGCTCGGGCCTCTGGACGTCCCCGGTGGGGGATCGGTCAACCCCAGCCAGCTCTGCCGTGGAAAAGGAAGAGGTGAGAGACCCAGGGCTGAGGGAGCAGGGCCAGCCAGGCGTGCCGGAGCGCGGGATGAAAGGAGCGAGGCGTCCCCGCTGCCCCTATGTCTCCCCTCCACGTTGCCGAGCAGCGCCGTGACCCGGCCGGTCCCACCGGCCACGTCCAACACGGGCAGCCCAGCTCACCTGCCACCTGCCTGCCATGCCAACACTGCTAAACAAAAAAGGACGGGGCAGATCCTATGTCCGATAAGGTATTTCTGGGAAGTGGTTGGAAACCCCTTGGGATGGAGAAAGAGAGAAAGAGACAGGCAGAAGCGGCACGGCAGCATCGAGACGGGCACCACGAGCCATCCGTGGCGGACAACACCGGCGCCACAAACAGCGGGGAGGCAGGATCCTGCTGGCCCTGCTCCCACAGCCAAAAAAAACCAGGGGCCACATGACAGACAGGGACACGAAGGGCACACACCGACAGAGCCGGGAGAGGTACCTCATTCCCAGGTCCCTGTGAGAGGCGACAACAGAAACGCAACAGCACGGGAGCATCTGCTCCTGGAACATCAAGAGGCTGGGAGCTGGAGATGGAAACACTGACAAGGTTTTATTGCAAGGACAAGGAGGGGATTTGCAAAGGGGTGCTTCCTGCAGGAGAGCCAGCAGTTGCAAGGGATAGCTTTCCAGCTCTAGCCCCTGAGGAACTCTTCTACAGGAACCAGCTCAAGGTGAAACAGTCTCCCCTTTGCAAAGGGATTTTTTACTTTATTTCCTTCACTGTACCTGTTTTTCCCATCCAAGGCCTGGAAAGCAAGACTGCTGTAGAGAGCAGAGCATTAGAGGAAAACCTTTTCCTTAGGAGAGCGGGCAGTCCAGCTCTTATCTATAACACATCACAGCATCCCCCCTCTTGCTGCTTTTCCATCTCCTTCCTCTGCTTCATTTTACTTCCATGACCCTCCAAGTTGCACCAACTTCTAATGGCACAGAGGGACAAGTCTGAGGCCACAGGTCAACCTGAGTCATCACCGAGCAACCTGTAGACAAGGTGTCCAGAGACAACAGGGGAGGCATCCACAAGGCACCTTTTATCGCAGTAAAGCCAATGCTTGAAGCCAGGATCCAGCGAGGAAAGGAAAACTTAAACCCATGTGCCTTCATCTTCAAAGGAGATGACTCTCTTCTGCTCTCACAGCTTGGTCACCAGAGGTCAGTGACCAAACCTTCTCACAACAACCACGCAGAGGATGGTGCTGACAGCAGCTCCTGCGTCTTCAGATGTCCGTGACTGGGGCAGGGATCAGCAAACCCTGCAAGCCACAGGCAGAAGGATGGGCAGGCAGAGGAGCTGCCTCAGCTGGCTGCAAGGAGGCAACATCAGCATGTCCAGACTCCTGCTTTGGCACCAAAACGTTGTGGATGACGTCCTCCCGGTCTGTCAGCAAGGTGAGACCCACCCAGCATTGCAAGAACACTGTAGATGCCGGTGGGAGCAGCAGGAAAGGGACAAACACAAGGACTGGAGCACAGACCCTGCACTCCCGGGCTGTGGGACAAGAGTACACCCACCCACAGAGAGTTTGGAGCTCCTCATCTCCCCCGGGTTCCAGGTAGAGGCTGTGCACCACCACGGAGCTGTGCATCTCCATGCACAGAGCACAACAGCAACACTCCACATCCAACATCCCAAGCGGCTCCAGAGCGGTGATACTTCAGCTGGAGCGCACAGGCAAAGAGCTCTCAAGGGATTTTTGCCCTTGGGGAGCAGAAGGGTGGGGTTTTTTTGAAGATGTCTGTGATTGCAAAGCTTCTGAGTTCTGCTGGCAGCGTTGGAGAGCACCCAGGGAAGTGCAGCGTGAGGTGACAAAGCAGCTGAGGCACAGCAGACGCAAGAGAAACCCAAACACTGGGAAAAGAAAAGCTCCTTTTCATGTTTCCCATTGCAACAGAAAAGTGAATGTGTGGAGAGCTCCCAGAGAGCCTCTGTTCCAGCTCCCAGAGAGCCTCTGTTCCAGCTCCCAGCAGAGCAGCACGTCAGCTGAAGATGAAGCAACTCATTAGACATGCTGGTAGTCCCGCTGGCTGGATCCAGGCGAGAGCTTTCCCTCGTTGGGAAGACGACATTTGCAGTTGCAGAGCATAAACACCTTGCTTTCAACTGCAACCAGCCTCTTATGAGAGAGGCTACACCACCCACTCCAACACGGACACTGAGCTGCACCAACACGGACAGCCACGCACATGCTGGCTCAGAGTAGGACCACAGCGACCCACAGGTCCGACAGCACGGGATTCCCTGCAGCAATTCCTGCTTGCATGGTCAATAACAGGGTTTTCCCCCTTTATATCCACCATTTCTATGATTTGCACACGAGGTACAGTCATGCAGGTGGCCTCAGCTGCTCCAGTCCATCATCCACGGAGCTCAGGTGTGCCAAGCCCTGGACACCGTCGGGCTCGGTGATCCTGCCACCATCCTGCCCATCAGCACCTGCTTTCTACCACCTCTTCCCATGTATTTGCTGATATTATTCAAGCACAGCTCTTAGAAGGCTCTTGCTCTTCCCACTCCTTTTTCTTTCTAAGAAGATGCTACTGTGGCATGTTGACAAAATTAGACAGATTTACGCAGGGGATTATGAGGAAATTGCCTGAAGCTCATTTCCACTAGTTCTCCATAATTGGACTCGTATTTATACACACAAACATAAACAGTGAGTGTGCTGAACCCATGTGTCACCATAAATACTGTCTGACCTCTGGCAAGGAAGAGATACAGAGGAGGACAGAATGATGCTACTCACCAGCCAGATTTTATCTGCTCTACCCACCCTTTCTTTCTTCAAAGGGCTCTGATTATTTCAAATTAATTTTCATTTTAAGCTCAGCCAAAAGCCTCTTCCTGCCCCCAGAGTTAACATTTTGGGCAGCTGCCCGTGCATGAGGGAGATCTTGAATACCAACAGACAAGAGGCTCAGAGAGGTGGGCAAACCTCTTCTAGAAACTTGAGTGTAGAGCTGGGCAAAGGAGCTTTGAGAAGCCCATGTGAACTCCTGACACAAGCCTTCTGTGAGGCACCACAAACACCTGGAGCAGCAGTTTTCCTCGAGTCTCCAAAGGAAAACCCTTCTGCATGAGCAAGGGTCTGAACTGCATGGACTGGGAGGTACTGGAGAGGCTGCAAAGGTACTGAGGGACCTCTGAGAGCCCCAGGACAGGAGCAGGTAGCCAGGGGAGAAGAAGTATCCAACCCAACACACATCTCAGCTGCTCTTCTTCAAATGTCCTTCCACATACAAAGCAAAGACGTAAGGGAGAAGATCCCTGAAGGCATCACCGATCTCTTTCCACCCAGAAAGGGAACCCATATAAAGGAAGAGCGCAGGAGATTCAAGGGCACAGTACATATATTTAACCTCGTGGAGATCTCAACACACATTCCCTTTCTCCTTCTCTCCTCAAGACACTGACATCCAGAAATAGTTTGGGCATGTTATAGAATCCTCTTGGACGAGGTAGAGCATCCACTCAGACCAGTCAGAGCATCCACTTGGACAGGAGCCCACTGTGTCTCGGCCTCCATGTGCTTCAACCCTTCATCCTCCTCAGATGAAGAGCTCAATTCTCCTACAGGAGGCTCCTGCAAGTCAGAATTCCCACTTTGCTCTGAGGCAGCTCTGGCTGCTGCCTCCATCCCGGAATGCTTGGGATCCTTCAGAGAGGTGTTAGAGAAACACGGCGGTGACGGCCCCTGGCCCCAGAGCTGCTGCTGCCAAGGCACAGCAATGAGGGAGGAAGAGGCTGAGGGAAGGAGCACACCTTCTACAGGTCTGCAGACACCACAACTCATCTACACAACGGACTTCACCACCATGCTGACGGAGAGGAGAGAGGGCGAGGGAAAAGGGGCCGGACTGGAGAGGAAGAGGGGGATACAGTCACGGGGAGAGGGAGGGGGGAGAGAGGAAGATAAATGAAAAACAGGAGTGAGAAAATATATAAGTAAATTAAAGAGACTGAAAAGAAAAATAAAATAATAGTAATAATAATAATAATAATACTTAAGAAAGAAAAGAGAAACGCACTCAGACAAGCGGACTCACAACTTCTCCAAGCGGGAGGAGGCATGAAACACATGCAGAGGATCAGCACATGGACAGTCTTTAAAGGGGAACCTGTTTTCTTTCAAGCAGGGAGCGAGGGGTGCTGCTCCTCCCGCACTCCTGGCACCGATGTCCCTTCGTCACTCAACTCTACGCCACGGCCAAGCCCCCCAACTCCCAGCATTGGCAGTGCTGTCCTGGCAAAGGAGGCTGGCGGGGCCACCCAGGGCAGGCTGCGGTGCCGAGGGGCGGGGGAGCTTGGTGCCTTGTCTGTGGTTTTTGGGTTTCCCTCTGCAGGGAGACGACAGCTCCCTTTTCCCTGTCCGGAGATGCACGCTGCATCCTAAGAGGAGAAGATGGGAAAACTCCTGGTGCCGACTCGGTAACAGCATTATTTATCCCTGCCCATCCATAAAAGCTACCTGAGCTTCACCTAACAAAAGCCACCACGCTGCAGCCACCACCGAGCTGAGCCCACACACTGCCTCTCCCTCTCCTCCTCTCAGGTTTTATTACTGCAGCACAGAAATCTGGCTGGTCTGGTATAAAATCCCTGTGCTCTGCACGCACTGACAATTTTATGACCCCAAACCATCAAGAAATTACTTGGCTGGGCTCTTTACGGGATTCCTCACTTATTAACTGAGATTTATTCTTCTGGCTTCCCCTTTTTGGTGATAATGACTCTGGAGTCGCTCCTGCAACTCCACCTCCCAGCAGCATCTTGGAGAAGGACACAGCAAGTGTCCTGCTGGGCACTATGATCCTGCTCCTCAAAATCCATCAGCCCACAGCACCCAGCACTGGAGATGGGAGCCAGCCAGGATCTGTGCAAGAGCCACACCAAACTCAGATGTGAGCCTGGACTCAGCTCTGCTGTGCTAAAGCCACGTTCACTCGTGTCCCTGATGCTCCCAGAGTGGGAAAGTGCCACAGAAAAAAGAATAAACAGCCACGTCCTCACAGAAGGCTTCCCTATTCCTTGAGAAGCCTGGCACAGCCCAGATCTCACCAAGGCTCAGTGCCAGCTTTGCTCCTCATGGGATACCCTGCTCTGCCATCAGCAGGGGAAGACAGAAGAGGGTGGCCAAGTGCTCAAGAGCTTTGGAGGCTGCAAGGCTCAGATGGGAGGGGTTTGAGCTCCTGCACAAAGCACACATCCTATCCCTGCTCCCATCACCATGACCCAACACTCCCTCCTTACCTCTCCTGCTCTCCGCACCTCAGGACAACCCTCCAGGTCAGCTGGAGGAATTTCCCTCTCCTGTAAACATCCCCCTGATTTCTCTGGGCATCCCATCTCTGTTGTGAAGCTCTTTTCCAGCCCAACAAGGCTCTGCAGGCTGTTGGAGAGTGTTGGCCAGGACCTTGACTCTTCCCATCCAAGGCAGCAAAGTTTAGTTTTTGTAAGGCCAGTCCTAAGGAAGTTTGGCCATGGCCTGGCCCTAGAAATGCTCCTATCTGCAATCCCACCTCTCCTTTCATAACCAGCCTGGCTGACAGCCAAATAGGTCAGCGTTCCCAATCCTCAGGGCCACAAATTAGTAGGATCCTGTCTGCATTTAGCAGTTTTAGAGACAGTCTCTGCTTCTAAGGCCTGAAAACTATCTCCAAATTACTCCATCCCGGTTCCAGGGATGCCCATGGCCATCTAGGAAACCAGCCTCATGAAGGCAGCCCAAGAGGAATTTTCTTGGGAGAGTCTTTCAAGGTCTGCTCAGGGCTGTTTAATTACAGCTGGGTCAGAAGAAGTCTTGGAGATTTCTCCAACAAGAATTTCAGGGAGGGAGGGATTTTACTACGACTACACTTGTGTTGGGAAGGATAAAACACCTCTCTGGCAGCCTGAAACCATAGTTATGCTGCTGCCAAGCATACAGTCTATCTTGGGAGAAAGACTTCTCCCATTTTCCATGATTTAGGAGACTTGGGAAAAAGAAAATAGATCCAGGTACTGCTGGAAACTAAATTCTCCATGTGCTGGACTGCAGCTGGAGACTGATTTTTGGAGCCCCGCTCTGAGCTGTCTGCAGCTGGTTGCTCCAGATGTGGCTGTTTTACTTGGTTCTAGGGGTGGGCCATGGGCTCCTCCTGCTTTGGATCATCCAGGACAGCCCCACCTCAACATTCACCTTCCTAATACCACACAACCCTCATGCAGCCTGCCAGGGCCAAAGGTGCCACGTGCCACTGTCCTCCAAAAAAGGAAGGGCAGCCATGGGGAGACAACAGCTCGGCTCATCCCAAACCCCAAACCCCAAAGGCAGAGGAGCAGTGGCCTGCTGCTGGGAGGGGAAACCCAAAAGCCACAGAGACTGTGCGTCCAGAGGTGTTTCCTAGTGTTTTCGGATTCCTTATTCCCCTTTAAAGGAAGAGATGGTATTGGAAAAGCCCCTTCCGTGTCCCCTCTCATGCCCCGCTCCCGGCCACCCTCCACAGCACCCACACCATCCTTTCGGACATGGATCACCCTTACCTATTGAGCTGAGGAGAAGCTTGTCTCGACAACACTGCCCAGATAGCTGAGATTAATCAAAAACAAAGCAGTTATCAACACCCGCAAGGAGCCGAGCTCCGCAACACATCAGCACGTCAACAACTCCAAAGGAAAAAGGAGGGAAAGAAACCAAACTGAAACACAAACGAAACGAGGCTGGAGAAGAAAGGGGGAAAGAAACAGAAGAGAAAGGAAAAGAAGAAACGAAAACGATAATCAACGAAGCGAATGGATACACTGCATAAAAGCACGGACAACAGTGCTGCTTTAACACGGCTCTGTCCTGGAGCTGGGTCTCCTTGGGGTGCCCTGCCAGGAGACGTGGACCTATGACTACATGCCTAACTGCATCACTCCGTAGCTGCGTTTTCCAGAGGTACACAGAAGTCATTTCAGGCTCGTTCAGCTCCTCTCCCTCCCCATCCTCTCTCCCCTGAGCCCTCCTGCCTTCCGTGCAGCGCCGGAGGGGTTTTCTAAGGCCATAACGCTTCCAGGTACCAGAGGGAGGGAGTGAAATGCGGAGGGCACTGCGGGGTGAAACGCTGCCTCCCCCCTCCCCAAAACACACGCCTCTCCTCCGAATGCCTCCGACCGCGCCGGCTCCGCGGGGCTGGGAGCCCCGGCCCCCGACTCCTCTGTGCCACAAGCCGGAGGAGGGGGCTCGACCCCACCAGACAACAAGCCAAAATGAAGCAAGACGAAAGGATGGGACGAAAGCACGGCTACGGGGTCTAAGGTGCTGTGAAAGACGGAGGGAAAGAGGAGAAATACAGAGAGAAAGAGAGAGAGGAGAGAGAGAGACGCTTTTGCCTGGAGCAACCCTGGTACCTGGAAAACCAGCCGCTACTGTCTAGTGCAGCCACATCCCTCTTTAGGGCAGGATCTGAGCGTGCCGGCAGCCTCCCGATCTCCGCTGGGCTTAGTTTATTTTTGTTTTTCCTCCTCTCCTGACATGCTGCTGGTGTGGCTAAGTCCTTGATCTCTCCCTGCCCGCGTCCTGGGGCTGCAGCATCCCTTTTGCAGGTGGGGCGGTGACCGTGATAGCTGTTTCTGTCATGCATTAAAGCTCTCTAGACTCCGCGGGAAGGAAGAGGAGGAAGACAAGAGGCGCGGCGGCGGCGGCCCTAACGTTCGAAGAAAGCCAAGAGCCAGCAACTAGAAGAGGAAACAACCTCCAGTGACACCAGGACACTTACCTAAGCGAGCCGGGAGCCAGGCCTTTGCACGCCTGGTGGACGGCCCGTAGCCCGAGTCACAGCGCTCCCAGATTCCCAAGGGAGCGGCCAGGCCGGAGGCAAATGTGCCACCGGCACTGGGAATGTCGCCTCCCTAAAACCCAGCACTCCTGGGCAGCGGCCATGCAACCCATGCCCACGGCACCAACCTCTGCCTAGCAAAGCCCGCGGGACGCCGTCTCCAAAAGGGATGCTGCAGCGTGCCCAGAGAGACCCTACGAGTTGGGATGGAGATGGCAGGGAGGGAGTCAGAGGGAGCGGGTGAGGCAGGGTGGGGGAAGCCAGGAAGGGGCCAGAGGGGCACCACGGGGCTCACACACTTACCCCGTGGCGGCTACCGTGGTGGTGGATGTCGGCTCCGGTTGGAGAATCTCCTCGCCAGCCCTCCTCGGAGAGGGGATGTCTCCGAAAACATCCATGGTGTCCACGGGCAGGGAGGAGCCCTGGGAGTTGGAGAAGCCAGTGCCCACGGGGGTGAAGGCGGTGGTCGGTCGGAAGCTGGGGCTGTCCCCCCGGCTGCTGGGCGCGGGGGATCCCGTCGACGACGGCGTGGATTTGCGGGAGAAGCTGACGGCCGCGGGCGGCTGCAGCGTGATCTCCGACACCTCCGTCTGCTGGATGAGGCCCGGCCGGGGCCGGGCGCGGGCGGTCAGCTCCGGGGAGCTGTTGCGGGAGCTGAGGGGACTTTGGGTCAGAGGAGAAAGCCTTGAAGGTTGTAGCACCACCTGATGTAAACTGGGCTCAGCCCTCCTGACCTGCCGAGGGCTGGGCCGAGGTCGGGGTTGGGGCTCGTACCACCTGGTGTCCAGGCTGAATGTGCTTGTGCCGCTGGGGCCGACGGGCTCGGACGGTTCGTGGTAAGGCAACACGGGTATGCCCATACCTTGGCTGGTATGTCTTAGCTGCCCTTGACATCCCATGGGTTGCATAGGTTTGTCCTGCCACTTGGTGGTAGCGGGCACGGAGGATTGACCCCTGCCCGGTGACTTGCCGGTCCAGCTCTTTGGTGCCTCCAGGGGCAGGATGCCCGAGTAGGACGCGGGGACCACCTGGAGGGAGGAGGGGGGCGGCCCCCGAGGAAGGCAGCCGGTGGGCTGGGAGCCCTCAGCTGCCTCGCAGGGCTGGAGCTGGTGGGGGAACGGCGCGGGGGCCAGCTCCAGGCTGCCGAAGGGGAACTCGGCCCTGCCCCAGGGCTCGGGGGACCGGCCCCCCGTGGGGGTCTGGGCCAGGGGCAGCGTGCTGTTGGAGGCGTTCTCCCCGTTCTCCTCGGGGATGGTGGGGTGTCCGAAGGGCCCCTCGGGGGGCAGCGGCGGGGAGGACATGACCGAGCTCAGCGGGCTGACTTCTGGCATGTAGAAGGGCGGCGGGTCCACCTCCCCGGGGCTGCTGCTGCTGAGGTAACCGTAAAACTGGTGGTGGAAAGCCCGGGGGGCCGGTGGGCGGGCCTGGCCCGTGGCCTGCAGGGCGCCGGGACCCTCCAGCGCCCGGTGGAACCGGGGGCTGTATGCTGGTGGCTGAAGGTAGGACTCCTGGCTGGAGGAGAGAGGGGTGAGCTGCGCTTTCAGGGCGGTCACGGAGGTGGGGACGACGGGGTCGTCGTTCTCCTCGTCCGACTGCCTGAACTCGGGGTACATGTCCGTCTCCTCCACGAAGGGGAAGCCCTCGATCCGCCGTGTCTTCAGGGAGGGCTCCATCTCCGCCGGGTCCATGACAAAGCGGCCGTCGGGCCCGCGGCTGATGAGCTCGATCGGGGTGGTGGCCTCGGCTTCGGCCTCCGCCTTGGAGACGCTGTACTTCTTGCTGCTGATGGCTCGTTTGGTCTTCTTGTAAAGGGAGAGCTCCTTCTCCTTGGTGGGGCTCAGCATCCGCTTGGCCTGCGGACCCTGGTCGTCAGAGGACTCCGAGGGGGGACGGAGCGTGCGGATGCTCTCGGGACTCACCTTGCCTGAAGACAACCTGGACCACAGGGGAGAAAAACCGAGAGAGGGGACGGTCACCCGGAGGGGAAAGGAGGTCTTCTTGCCCAGAAGAACCACTGTCTGGATCCGGAAAACAAAGTGCTACCAGCCCTCACAAGAGGAACTGGGAGAAAGGGGCAGGGCCTAACCAGGGTGGCAGAGTCTTGCCAGAAGCCGCGCACAACATCCCTGCTCCTTGGGAACGGAGCTCGGCACACTCAGCATCCCCCCTGGGGCAGGTACTTCACACCAACACCTTGCAACAAGCTCCACCAACACCTTGCAACAAAGCTCCACAGCCCCACCGGGACAAAAGACAGATCCAGAGCTCACTTCCAACTCCTTCAAAGGCTTCCTGTGTTCACCTGAGCTATTCATGCCCAGGAAAGGCCCTGAGAGGAGCTACATCAAGTAAATGTCCCCTCTTGCAGAACTCAGCGTCTCACTTGGAGATGCTGACGGATCAGCTCAGACCAACTGTTTCTCCCATTCTCAACACTCAGATTTGAGGCTGAGAGCCTCAAAAGGCAGAGAGCATCAGAAGAGTTCCCTCATCCCTATCCAGAAAGCCTTGGACAAACAGGATTGTGAGGCAAAAGGTAGCAGATCCAACAGAGACAGTGCAGGTTATTTCAGTGCAGTGGATGAACCAGAAAAAAAACAAGATTCAGATCCACCAGCACCAGGACATTTTGCAGTGGTCCAGGAGCCAAAGCATGAGGTGTCCACATCCCAGGCTCTCGCACTCCTGTTGGGAAGATGCTCCCACTGATTTGCAGCCACGCCTGCTTTTGATGGGCTCCGCAAGGAGCTGTGGCTACTGCAGCACCACGACCCACCACCTCTGGGCACAAGTGGAAAGAGGCTTCAGCAGGGGACTCTTGATGAGAAAAGATGTGTTTCCCAAGAAAAAACAGAGCCAACAGAGAATGACTCAAAAGTACTGAGCTGGCAGGGAGGACTCTATGCGGCAGGCTAGTCCTCCCAAGGAGCCCCTTCATGCTGGTGTGCCACTGAGTTCCACCAGCCAACTCCAGCTTGGTCAGTGTTTACAGATCCAACAGGGTCATCTCTTATCTTAGTTTGCTGCATTCCCTGCTGCTTTCTGCTCCAAAGCCCATTTGTCTCTTGTGAACCGCTGTGCTCCCAAAAGTTCAGGGAACACCCAAAACAACTTGTCAGAAGCAACCAAGTAATGATGAGATATTTCCATCTGAGCTTTGCAATAACTGTAGGAAGGAGGCACCTTGAAGACCCACAACCTGGTGCCGCATCTAAGACAGATACTTACGGGGACTCCAAACTCTTCCTGCAGTGGGTTATCGAGAGAGGAGGGTCTGGAAGAGAATAAAAAGGGGAAAGAAGAGAGAACGCTGAGGAGGCGCAACACGACAGACACAAGACAGACTCAACATCAAGACAACAAAAGACACTCAACAAGAGGCCAAGGTTTCATTGCTCCAGTGCTTTAATGGTTGCTGACAACAAACAGCTCCCGTCACAGGGTCCTGCCCGTCCTGCTGCCACAGCCCCGCGGGCTGGAGGAGAAGGAGCCGACTCCCTGCCCTCTCCAGCTCCCCAGCCGCCCTTTTCCCTACTGGCCGCTCCTGCATGGAGGCTGCAGTCCCAGCTTTCGGGAAGCAGAGCAGCAGGGTCTCCTTTGTGGGGTCTTCTCTAGCCCAGCGTGGCACTGCCCACTCCGGGCTGGGAGCAGCTGGAGAGCCCAGCTCCGGGGGGGGAAACCTCGAGGAGGTGAGTGATGACCCCCATCTGTGTCTCAGAGGACACCCCAGCCCTAAACCCCCGGCTCTAGGAGTTATCACCACGCGGGAGAGTTCCCTCGGAATTCCCAGGCTACTTTCTCTGGCGCCTCTTCACCCACCCTGCCTCTCCCGCTCCCGACCACGGGCGCTTTTCAGGCACAGCCGAGGGATCAAGTCAGGGCTTCACCTGAGGACGCGCACGGACGAAGAAGAGACAGACACAGGGAAGAAGGTTACGACCACAACACAACCAGGGGGGGAGAAACGAGGAGGAGACAGGAGGGGGGGAGGGAGGGAGCACACCGGGAAGGGACTCACCTTTCTTGCGCTTGAGCTTGCGTTTGCGTTGCTTGTTGACGAAGCAGGCGGCGAGTGTGCTGAAGAGGATGGCAGCAGCCAGGAAGCAGATGGTGGCAACGATGCCAGCCAGCACCGGGCGGGCTAGACCCTCGTCCGTCAGGTCAGGCTGAGGGAATACGTCTGGGGGACAGACACAACGGGGTGTTAAGCCCCATTCCCTGCCTTCCACAGGGACCTACCACGGCGTGGAGGCAGTGACAGTCTCCAGGAATGATACTGTACATCAGGACGATAATCTCTGTAAAGAGATCCCAAGCCAGCCCACCCAGGGAGAGCAGTCAGTGCTGCTTCAGGGCCAAGGGTTTTAGTGACCTCACACCGCATCATAGAATCATAAAATAGTTTGAGATGGAAAGGGCTTTTAAAGGCCATCTAGTCCAACCCCCCTGCAACGAGCAGGGACATCTTCAACTAGACCAGGCTGCACGAAGCAACCTGACAAACCTTCCTGTGTTAGCTGATGGACACCCAGGAAAGAAGCCTCCATGCCAACAAATACATATTTATGTCTAAACACACACAGCTGCAGCAAACCTGCAGTTAACTCCTGGCTGAAAAACCTGCTGCAGCAGCAGAAGGTGTTTTAACTTGTTTGCCAGTGCTTCATTTCAGCTTCTCAATGAAAACTGGGCTCCAAACCCTCATGATACCCCTTCCTTAACCGTGAGCACATCTGAACTCCCAGCAGACCTCGGCTGTGGGCCCCTGCAGATGCAAACCCTGCACACCTCAGCGCTCCTGCTGTGTGCTCACACATGGAATCGGCTGGAGCACCGGCTTTCAGCCTGGGACAGCACCTGCCTGGGGCCAGGGCACCTGCCAAACCCCATCAGAAAAATCGGGCGTGAGGAGAAAGGGCAGCGGGCAGGGAGGCTGCAGGCAGGGAGGCTGCAGGCAGGGAGGCTGCAGGCAGGGAGGCTGCAGGCAGGGAGGCTGCAGGCAGGGAGGCTGCAGCAAGATCACACCACACCGGCACCACTTGGGGGCAGAGAGAGACCGCTGCATCACGGCACAGCAGAGCCGGGCTTTCCACGAGAGCCATAAAATCAGGGTTCGCCGCATCCCCGTCCCCTCCCGCTGCCCTCGCCCTCCCCATCGCCACCACAAGCCCTCGCCTGTGTCTTGGCTCGAGGAGCGACCCCCGAGCTTGGGCGGGCACAGGGTAAACACACACACAGGAGCTGCAGCGTGTTGCAGTCTCCCGTTGCAAAGCTCTTTTCCCTGTGGACCCTGCACTGCAGTGCTACGTTTCCCTCTCTCCACCTTTCATTCCCGTTTCCAGGCTGCGCAGTGCCCGGCTGGAGCTTTGTTCTCCAGGCTCACCGCAGGGCCGGGACGTGCCAGCGGACACCGACAGCACCGTGCTCCAGGGGAAGGACTAAATGGGGCAGGTTGTCCTCTCCTGCTCCAGGAGGCAGCCTGGACACCCGTCACAACCATGAGCCCACCCACCAGCCCAGCCCACAGCCCCACAGCCGGGGAGAGAAGCGGGACACCCCTCACCTGTACTGGACACCCCAGCGACGTTGCTGGGTTCGCTGATGAGATCCTGCATGACCGCCAGGACACGGAACTCGTACCAGGTGTCCTGCAACACCAGACACACCCGTCAGGTCCCCCACTGCAGGCTGCCACCTCCCCAAAGACCCCAGCAAAGGGATGGGGCCACCCCTAAAGCTTCCCCAGAGCTGCGGCAGACGGTGCAATTTTATCACAGAATCATGAAGGTTGGAAAAGACCTCCAAGATCATCGAGTTAAGTACGGCATGGGCACAGCCCCTGCTTACCAGGGACAAGTCCTTGGCAAAAAACTCGCCCTCGGTCCCTGGGATGCCGTCGTCCAAGATCTCCCACCTCTCGGCGACGCGGAATTCCATGATGTAGCGGTCGATGGGGAAGCTGTGGTTGGCGGGAGGGAGCCACGACAGGAGGACGCCTTGCTGTGTCCGGTTGGCTGTTAGGCACCTCGGTGGGGTAACCAACACCAGAGGCTCTGGAGTTGTTACAGGGAATGCTGGGGACAGAGCAGAGGGGACAGGGACACCTTTGAGATGGGGCAGGGGAAGCGCAGAAGATGCTTTCCCACGTGGGCACATCAGCAGCAGCAGGACCACTGCAGCACCTCCCACAATCCAGGAGTTTGGGGCACATCTCAGGAATCTGGTCTCTTATCACAGATGTAGAAAAGTGGCTTTTCAAAAAGCAGGGGACTTATGATGTCATGACTTCAGCAAAAGGGGCACAGTGTTAAAAACCCTCCTGCTTCCTCCCACCTCCACCTGGGACAGCCCCAAGGCAGAGCCCAATGCAAGGCCCTCCTACTGTACAAGTGATTTTGTGCTCTATTAATACCTCCTGATCCCAGCTGAACTTGAGGAAGATCTGAAAGGTGACTGATAGAGTACAGCTCTCCCACACTATCTCAGGACAAGCTTTCAGGAGCCTCGTGCATCCAGCAAAGTCTACAGGCTTCATCCAGGACCCTCCACAAACTATCTTCTACATGGCTGGAAACTATTGCTGATGATCATCATCTCCATCCCCAGCAGGCAGGACACATGGGGCACTTCTCCCCACAGACCTCCCAGATCCCATCCCTGCCCTCCCCTTGTGCCCATGGAGGACCTACCTAGAGTGTTCACAGTGACCACCTCACTGAAGGAGCTGGTGCCCAGCTTGTTTTGAGCCAAGACACTGAACTGGTAAGCAGTCTCTGGTTCCAAGGTATCCACCAGTAGCCAACTGGAACCAGCTGGCACAGGGAGAGACAGCCAGTCATGGGGACCAAACTGGGCTCTCTTCATCCTGCCAAGAGAGAAGGCAGCATCCTCAGGGAAGGTGTCTTTGACAGGGGGGACAGAGGCAGCATTAACTTCTCGAGCGAAAATGGAGCTTTCCCGAGCGATGGTTTGGTTTGAGAGCAGTGATGTGTATGGACGTGGGGCAGCCACTGCCACCCACGAGCTGGCACCATCCCACCGTGTCACAGCAGCATCCCCCGGCTCACAGGGACACTGCCACCAGCTCTCCCCTCTGCTGTGCACCACCTGCACCCCCTGAGCAGGGTCAGGGACGGCAGCAGTGCCAACAGCCCCGCTCTGATGTGATCTCCATCAGATTCCCATGGGAAAAAGTGGAAGCTGGAGCATTTCAGCTCCATGAGTGCTGCAAAGGGAACGGCTGACGCAGGAGACGGGCCCTGTTCCCATTTATACCTCGACAGCTCCTGAGCCAGAGCCAAGTTCTCCCTCAGCTGTAGCCCTGTACATGTCATCCCACAGGAGACATTTAGCTAAATCCCCATCTTTGCCACATTTGCACAAGTCGGGGGCTGCCAGCACAGCCTGGGGCATCACTCGGGGTTTGGCAGCGCAGCAGAGGCACTGGCACGGAGTGCAGGACACAGCCTTTCTGCTGGGATCTAACCACAAATCCAGGGTGAAAAAACCTCCCAGAGCCATCCCAGTGCCACCCCAGCACCCACGAGCGTGCAGCCACCTCCACAAGCCATTATCCTGCCAGGAAGCACCTTGGTGGAAGAGCCCCACGTCCCAAAGCAGCATCACTGCACTGCAATGATACTGCAAGTACTGGTGCTCATGTCAGAGAGATGCTTTAGGGAGTCTGAGCCCTCAGCTGCACGTTTTGGCGGTGTCAGCAGAGGATTTGGGAAGGATTAGTGCAGATGGTCTGTTCTGTGTAGGTAAGGGGGCACATCTGTGGCCACTGGCACACAGCCGGGGGAATCCAGCAGGAAGGAAAAGATGGAGCAAAGAGAAATAATACCACTGATGAGGGAGCAAGAGGTGAGGCAGGAGAAGCCATGGCAAGCTATGGAAAGAAGCGAGTTGGTGGAGAGCCATGTGTGTGCAGTGTGCCTCCACCAAACCGAGTGGAAAACCTCTGGATCGCCACAGCTCCAGCTGGGACTACAATTCCCAGGATCCCCTGCCACTGCAGCAGAGGCAGGAGGGCAGAGGAGCAGCCCCTGAGCAGGTTTCCCTGCAGCATTTAACCCACTGCCTTCACATCCCTCCTCCCCAGTGCTGCTGAGGGCAGGTACAGGAGGGCAAGGGGCTGAGGGTGGGGAGGGTGGAGGGGAAATGCAGCTCTAATCGCTCTGGGGAACAGGAGACAGCCCTTGCTGAGGGACAGCACGTGTGCAGGTGGGATGCTGTGGTGGCCCTGGCCATCCCTGGGAAGTGGGGTTTGCATTTCCAGCCTCAACAACCACAGCAGCAGGAGGAGAGTGTGAACCCGCAGGAAATGAAGCCATGTTTTGCTTGAGCATCCCAGAGCCACAGCAGGGAGGAAAATGCATGGATGGGCCACGCTCTGGATGGCACTACATGACCCAGCACTGCCCCAGATCCCTGGTCCCAGGGCACAGCACAGTCCCCAGGGATCACACCCTACAGTCAGGGCAAGATGGATTGCTGCCTCCCTATCCAAAGTCCCCACAGCTCCTTGTAAATTCCTTAAGGCAAGCTCGGTACAAACACCTTTCCCTGCTGGCTGCTCTGCCCGGTGTGGGGTCTGGAATTGCCTTGAGGAGGCAGGAACCCGGCAGCAGGTTGCAGAGCAAAAGCAGCAGCAGTTGCAGATGCAGCCACGTTTCCAGAGCAGAGAGGTTTAACCACTCCTTCCCAAGGACATTTTCATCAAAGCAAGGTCTGCACCACTCAGCTCACTCCCTCATTTTCCCTCTCTGCTCAATCCATTCCTTCTCTCCATCACCAGACTGCCCAGCCCCAGGCTGGAGCAGAGCAGAAATCATTACAGGCAGCGTCTCCCTCTCTTCTCTCTATCAGCAGTCTCCACCGGGGCAAATTAAGGCAAGGAAGGAGAGAGAGAGCAAGAGGAAAGGCTGAAGAACAGCCTGGAAAGAGAAAGGATCACCCCCTCCACATTTCCAAGGATGACTCTTCACAAGAAAACAAGAGCAGAGCCCGAGGAAAACCCCAATTTTGCTGCAGCTACATTTTGCCCTCCCCTGCCCCAGGGAACAGGCACAGGGCTGAGCCTGGCCCTGCTGCAGGAAGGTGGGATGCACCCACTGGCTGTGGGTGCCGGGTGGCACAGGAGCAATGGGAACAAAGCCCCAGGGGCTCAGACCCAGCCAGCATCTCACAGTGGCTGGTCATGATCCCAGCTGGGATTTAACCATCTCCAGGGAGCCACAGAGCAAGGAGAGATCATTTCTGCTTAGTCACAGCTCTTCCAGGACGCGCTCTCTGAAGGTTGCATTTTCCATCCTCTCCCTGGCTGTTAAGCCCCGTAAACAGTTTATCTTGAAATTGGATGCCAGAGGCAGAGTTACACGAATGCAAAGCACCTCCCCTGCACCACAAGCAGAGTAAAACCTGCTGGGGCAGATGGGAGGCAGTGGCCAGCACAGAAAGGAGAGGAAATACAAGAACTACATGATACCACCACCACCACCACCACCCACCTCTCCGAGGAACCCAACGCCCCACGGGCACAGAGCCGGGCGCGCCACCCTCACCACCCTCCTCCCCCCAGGCTGCTCGAAGCTCGGGTCGGCTAGGAAGGAAAAGAAGCAGAGAGCAAAGCATGCCAGGATGACTCACAGAGGGCCGTACCAAACTGAGAAAGTCTGCTCGTATCCACCGTCGTAGCCGGGCTCCCAGGAGACGTTGGCTGAGGTCATGGCGGCCACGACGTGCACGCTGGTCGGGGCGTGAGGGCTTGTGCCTGCAGGGAGAGGGGCACGGGTTAAAGGGGAGCAGGACCACCAAGGCAAGGGGGGCTGCTCCCAAGCCGTGATCCGAGGGGGCTCCTCCTGCACCTGGAATTTCTGCTGGAAATAGCAGGACAACTGTGCCTGCAAGCGGCCAAAATAACGGCGCGGAAAAAGGCAGCTCTGCCAGTAAATAACATTTAAAGGAGACATCGCTCTTAGTCATAGAATGGTTCAAGCTGGAAGGAACTTTAAAGGTCATCTACTCCAACCCTCCTGCCGTGGGCAGGGACACCTTCCACTAGACCAGGTTGCTCCAAGCTTTGTCCAGCATGGCTTTTAACACTTCCAGGGTTGGGGCAGCCACAGCTTCTCTGGGCAACCCGTGCCGGGGCCTCACCGCCCTCACAGTAAGGAATATCTTCCCAATATCTTGTTTAAACCCTCTCTCTGTCAGTTTGAAGCCATTCCCCCTTGTCCCATCACTACAGTTCTCTTCACAGGGAGCATCCCCACCTCCTGCCTTGCCAACAGGCTGCCTGGGGGGCTCTACCCAGGGCCCCTTCCCCTCCCTGCCCGTACCTACGACGGTAAGGTGGGTGCTGGCAGTAATGCTTGCGACGATGTTGGTGGCGACGCACTCCCACTCTCCGTGGTCGTCCTTGCCGAGGGAGCGGATCTGCAGGGTGCCGCCGGGCAGCGTGTTGTGCTTGCTCCTGCTGGGCTTCCCTACCTTGGGCAAGGAGCGGGGTGGGGAGCCGGGCAAAGAGAGAGGAAAAAACAAAAACCACGACTCAGAAGCGGGTTGTGGGGCAGGGCGAGGCGGCGGCGGGGTCACTAAGCTACCTGCGCGGCCCAGGGGACACCGCCGGCCACCGGCAGGGGATCCGGTCTCTCCGGTCGTGGCAAGGCAGACGGTTCCCCCGTTTCCGAGAGGACCTGAGGGGCAACGCGAGAGGCATGCGTCAGGGAGGCTGCTCTCAGCACTCACACACCAGCGGAAACCCCCACGGCACTCGCACGGACAGCGAGCCCTGCGCCAGGGCTCAACCTCCAGCATCCAAAGCTGAAACTGCTGCGGGACGAAGGTGCACCGGCCACCCCAGCAGACACCCTCCCAGGCTGGGGAAGGCACTGTCTGCCCCAGGAGATGCCCAAATTGCCCCTCAGCCTCAGACAGCAGCAGATGAGAGGCAGGACTGCTCGTGTCAGAGGTCTGGGCAGCAAAGGCCCCATGGGGATGTGGGAAGGTGGCGGGTGTGGAGGTGCCTGGAATCTCTGAAGCCGAGCAGAAAGATGGATCTTGTAAAAACTTGTCCACGCCCATCTGCCAAAGTTGTGCAAACCCCACGTTGGCCAGAGTCCTCTTCAACTGTTCTTCATGTGGGAGTCTCTGCTGATCAACACCAGGACCCACGGGCTGATGCCAAGCAGGAGGAGCAGAGGAGCCGATGGGCACATGGGGTAACCACTGCCAAGCCCAGGAGTCCTTCAAGAGACTGGTCAGCGCTGGTGGGCTGATGGGGAGCAAAGGAGTTTGCTTCTGCCACTGGGAAACCAAGCCCAGTCCAAGCCAGCCCTGACTGGAGTTTGTGGCCCTGGGCTTATCCCCCCAATATGGGGAGGACCATCAGAAGGCACAAGCAGGACTGGAAAGAAACCTGAATGAGACTGATGAGGGAGGGAAACTAAAATAAGGTGGAGAAAAAGACTAAACAGCCAACAGGCTTCAGGCAGGGCACTTGCAAGCTGTGCACGTCATGGTCCTCCTAGTGCTGGTAAAAGGGGCTCAGAGATTCAGCATCTCATGCCACAGGGATTGGGGACGGTGCCCAGTGGGTGACACTGGGACCTTGCTCACTCTCAGGAACCCTTAGAAGGGGACAGGAGACTTGGAATGAGATCCTGACAGGGGGCACAGAGCCCAGGAGGTCTCCTGTACAGCTTTCTTATGGGAGCAGTAAAGGTGGGAAGCAAAGGGAAGGCTGCAGGAGGCCTAGAGACTGTGCCACCACACCCTGCTCTATGAAAAGGGACATCTTGAAGTCATTATATCCAGTCCAGCAGCACTAAAACAGCTTCTTCCCAGGGTCTTTCAAGTCGTGGGGCAGCAAAACAGCTGCTGACTGGTCCAGCCCTTTGCCTGGACTTGCTGCTGGACACCCTGACGTGCTCTGGTGTCCCATCCATGGGAGGTCTGTGCCATGAGAGCGGCATCGCCGGGGCTGCCACGTCCTGCCAGTGACCACCTCACACCCAGGCAAGGAGGAAGGTGTCCTGTGGGCAGTGCTGGCGAGGAAGAGGAAGGGGAGGCCGGGGGTGGGAGCAGTGTTTCAGCTTTGTGGATGCTGCCGTGACGGTTTCCCGGGATTACAGCACTCGGTGGCCACAAGCCGGGCTTCCCCCACCCACCTGCGGGACAGGACGGCAGTGGCTCAGCCCAAAGCGAAGCAGCTGTACCTGCAGTTTGTTCTTACCGGGACAGAGTGTGGCTTCTCTGTCTGCAATATTCACCAAAAGCCAAAGGCACTGCAGATTTGTCTGGCAGGCCGGGTACCTTTCTCCAGGCGATGATGGGAAAGGGGTCTCCGGCAGCAGCGCAAGGAATCAACAGCTCCCTCCCTGCCTCCTGTCTGTACTCCCAGCCTGGTAGCACCGTGAAATAGGGGGGGTCCTGCAGCCAAGGGAAAAAACAAGGAGTGTCAGCCCACCCCAACTCCCATCACCAAAACAGGCCCTTTTCCAAACCAACCAAATCCCTGATTTGGATAAGCTTGAGGCGTTGCAAGGAAAGCTGCGTGGAGAACGTGTGCTGAGGAAGCGCCAAACTATACACCTGGAGGGAGGTTGTCTCCAAAAAAACACTGCACTAGGGCAGAGAATCACAGAACCACAGAATGGTTTGGGTTGGAAGGGACCTTAAAGACCATCTAGTCCAACACCCTGCCATGGGCAGGGACATCTTCCATGAAACCAGGTTGCTCCAAGCCCTGTCCAACCTGGCCTTGGACACTTCCAGGTAGCCACAGCTTCTCTAGGCAATCTGTGCCAGGGCCCCACCACCCTCATAGAGAAGAATTTCTTTTGTATATCTAGCCAAAATTTCCCCTCTTTCAGTTTGAACCCATTCTCCTTGTCCTAGCACTACAGTTCCTGATGAAGAGTCCCTCTCCAGCTTCCTTGTTGGCCCCCTTCAGATACTGGAAGGCTGCTGTGAGGTCTCCACACAACCTCCTCTTCTCCAGGATGAACAGCATCTGGGTTTTTACTTCCTTAAAACAGGAAAAAAACCACCCACACCACATCAGACATCAACCTGATTTCCTCGCCTCGGCAGCCGCCCCAGCGGATGTGTGTGTCTGGTACAAAAAGCGTTCTCATGTGAACCTCAGAGAGACACCATGAATCACTGCTGCTCACAGGCACAGGACTTCTTGTTCAGGGAAGGAAGAGGCAGCAGCTCCCACCCCAGCTGCACCAGGAACTGTGCTGGGAGCCCAGCGTGCCCCAGGCTCTGCACGCAGCCGGAGCACGTGGAGCTCAAATCATCCATTTATTAAAATCCTCCAGAACCCAAGCCCAGGCCAGCAGGGCTAAGTGTTTTGTTGGCAAAAAGGCCATCCCAGGGAGAGGTTTCCTCAAACCACCCTCGCCCAGCACTACCAGAGCCTTATATTCTCGCACCAGCCGATAATTTATATTATCTTACACCAGCTGATCCAGCTCGTGCTCAAATCCGTGCTGCTGCTCCAGCAGGATCATTCCAGCTACACCAGACAGGGTGCCCTCAGGGTTTGCCTGTCCTGGTGGGAAGCACATCTCCAACCAGAGCACAGACACACCTTCACCCTCAAGCCTCTGCTGTCCCCCTCACAGCAGTGTCCCAGGAGGACACCGCTCATGGCAAACACACCGGATTTTGGCAGGTTACCTTCAGTACCAGTCGGGCAGGGGGAGACTGGCCCATCGTACCCAGGGCGTTATAAGGCACACAGGTGTAAGTGCCGAGAGCGTCTTCAGTTGCCTCCTCTATCCGGATCGACCCGTCCTCCAGCAGGTTCCAGCCAGCATACTGCAGCAGGGAGAGCGAGGGACTGACTGATCCTACACCCACCACAGCCTGTTATTTTCCCTTCAGCCAAGCCCCCCACCCACGCCCAGGGCGGCTGTCACATCCCTGGGAGACACCCAATCCCATTCCCAGCATCTCCTCAACTGCAGAGAGAGGAAACGTGGGCAAGATCAGCCCATCCAAACACAGCCCTCCAGGGAAGGGTTGTCCTGCTCTGTATGCACCCAGCGGGTTTATCTTGAAGGCACTCTCCTCCCTACACACAGCCAGGCTTCTTCATGTAGCCCAAAAAATTTAAGATCAGAATCTAACCCTAAATAAAACTTGTCCTGGAGTGGACAAGACAACTCCAGCCGAGGGGTTGAGGGCACCAAGGACCAGGAAGCCACAGCAGCAACAGATTTAAATGGACTTAAAACTTCAAGTCATTAATATTTAAGCAAAAAATTTAAAATATTGAGTGTTTTCTTTAAATATTTAATGTCCAATATCCTTGCTCAGACTGTGATTGGAGGAAGACAGAGACTTGTTAAAAGGGCCTTTTAACCATCCGTTGCCATTGGAAAAATAAACCAGGGCCATCAGGAAGCGACTTTAGGGGGAAGCAGGCACTAGGTCTGGGAGACACTGTGTCCACAGGGCTCTGCACAAAAACCTGAATTAACTCTGCCCACAGCTGATAAGGAAAAGCAGAGTCATCCCACCCATGGGGCTTCTTTTCACCTGACAGCCAGGCCGGACCCACAGGGTGCCTGGTGGTGCTCACCAGGGATTCCCAAGGACATGAGGGTCCGATCCCCCTTTGTCCCTCCCCGGGGGCTTCGTTACCTTCTCGATTCGCAGGGGACGCCCGTCCTTGTTCCACTTGACCAGCGTGACCGGGGGCTCTGCCTCGACCGGGCAGCGGATGTATCCGTGGATCCCGATGGGAACGTAGATGACGGGGGGCATGTTCACCACACGGGCAGGATCTGGGAGAGCAGCAGCACCACGTTAGCACGGGGAAAGAGCCCATCTCTCCCCCCTGCCTGGCTTTAGAGGATCTACACCACTTTTGTAATGAACTCCAAACCCAGCACCACCTTGGCTCCCACAGGCTGTTATCTCCAGCCTTGCTACACACAAATCCACTGTAATACCTGGCATTTCTGGGAGGCTTTACCAATGCCCAGGGTGTTCCTACCCGGGGCTCATTAAGAATTGCATTTATGAAGAAATATGAGATATGCCTGCTCCTAATTCCACACCAACTTGCATCCTGCTGAAGCCCAAGCTGCTCCATCACAGTGGGACACACGTGCAAGGTGTGACACACACCCAACACCAGGAACCAAAACTATTTCAACTCTCAAGCCTTAAAATACACTAACAGCAGCATCCAAGATGGTCAAAGAGACCCATGTCCAGGCTGCCATGAGCCCTTCACCGCCTATATCTGCTTGTCCTCGTGGCTCGTGCCTCATCAAGGCTGGGTCATGTTGAACACCAAACACCTCCACCCTTTCCAAGATGCAAAAACCTTAAAACACATATCTTAAACCCCCCCCCCCATGCTGCACCACCCACACAGAGAGGTGTCTCGCAATCCTCCAGTCTAGAATGTGTCATTAACAGCACTTCTAAGAGCTTTTTAATTAAGTGCGAGTGGGTTGGAGAGAATCTAGACTTTCTTTAATAAGAAGCTTTTGAAAAAAAAAAAAAAAAAGTTACTTTTAATAAGAAGAGTGAGTATTTCCACAATCTCGTCTAGACACCGGCAGCGCAAGGTTATGGGAAAATCCCGACGGGTCTTATGCTGCATTAAGGGATGAAGGTGGTTTTTTTGGGGTGCAGCACCAACACAAAGTGGGGGCTTAAAGGCAAGGTGCTTAGTAGGAAAGGATGGAGGACGTGGGGGTGCCCTCTCCTTGTTGCTTTCTTGGGGTTAAAAAGACAAAATTTGGGAGATATTCTCCCTCCCTGCTGAAACGTATCACCCCATCCACCCCCCCAAACCGTGTGCCCCCGGCAGTGGCACCGTAACCCAGATTGCTGAGTGCTGCATATGGAGCAGGCTTTACCCCCCTCCGCTTAACTCCACCTCTTAGGAAATGTAATCAAGGACTCCAGCAGCGCGGGAGAGGGTAATGGGATCGAGCCTTTCACTACTAGGTCACTGGCCGGGGGCCAGCCCGGCTCACTAATGACCCAGAGATGTGTCCCCATCCGCTCCGGTGGGTGGGAAGCTCCTTCCCGAGGCATCAGCCCCCACATGGACGAGGTTTGCTCAGGAGGAAAAGGGTTTGTGGCACCAAGAGCCAAGCACCCCTCCCTGTGCGCCTGAACGGCAGATTGTCCAAACGCTGTTTCTCCTGCCACTAGAGCTATTTTTAACAGCTATCAGCCCTGACAAGCGGTCCTGGATTAGCAGCAGGGCAGATTTAATGGCCTGAGGCCACAGGCTTTCCCAAGAGCCGCCCAGCCGGGCACATCCAAGCCCCAAATCAGGCCTCTGCCTGGGCACAGCATAACTCACACCATCCCCCTGCCCGCTCTGCCCCACAGGGAAGCAACAGGACCTCCCAGCCCTTCTCACAGTGGCTCCCCACTAACCGGCACCGGGTCTAGAGGCAGCAGCTCTACGTCAGCCTGGAAAACCCGAGCCATGAGCCCACTTTGCTCAGGCCCGTCTTTCATTATGAAATAAAAGCGCCACAGTCTTTTACAGCAGAGCAATATTGCAATTGTGAGCGGCGGCAATTGAGGCCATTACTGTCGAATGCCACGAGGCGCCGGTGGCACACTACCCATTACCGCCCGGGGATCCCGGGAGAACAGGCGTGGGAAGCAGCACTCCTGCTCCAGCCCTTTCTCCTCCGCCTGTTTAGATCAGTTACCGCCTGAAAAATGTGACACACAAGGCTGCGGAGCTCGCGGAACAGCCACACCATGGGAACAAGCCCCCACAATAAACACCAACAAGTACAAGACCGAGAGCCCTGATCCGGTGCTTCCCAGCAGGATGAGGGCAGAGCGTCGGCAGCAGCGGTGGGATATGATGCTCACCTAGACAAAACCCACAAAGGTGGACACCTGCCCCAGCTCAGCAGTGTCACCCAGGATGCTCAGACCATTTCAGACCATTTGCTTTCTTCTCTCCCACATCCATGTGGGATGCTCTCAGCTTTCTGCTGAGGGTGATTCCACGCTCATCCAAAGGCTGCTGTCGCATTAACCCGATTCTCTTAGGATCACACCAGGACAACAGAGCCTCTGGGGCTGCCTCAGAGGCAGATGTTACCAATGCCAGCCCCATCCCCACACTCACACTGCACTGTCAGGTAGGCAGAGGCTGATGGCGAGCGGCCCAGGCTGTTGCTGGGGATACAGGTGTATTTTCCAGAATCCTCTGGCTTGACATGGAAAATAATGAGCGTCCCGTCGATCAGGATCCGCACCCTCAACTTCAGGTCGCTGCGAGAGAAGAGGAGAGGAGGATCACTGGGAGGCCCAGGGCAACGCCCAGCACAATCCCAGCTCCTGGCACAACTCCCAGCTGCCAGGCCAGGTGCCAACTCACTTCTTGAAGTAGACGTTCTCCTCCTCCCAGTACCACAGGTAGGTGAGGTTCCCGGGGTACGCCTCGGCCTGGCAGGTGAAGAGCGCATCCTGGGAGATGTTGACTGTGATGTTCTCCGGAGGGGAAACAATAAAGGGAGGTCCTGGAGGAGGGGGAAGAGGAAAGTGTCACCCCCACCTCTAAAGGTGTCCCCACAAAGGTTGCTCAGGCTCAGCTCCATCACAGCACTGTTGGCTGGGAGCTGCTGGAGGGCTCTGGGGCAGAGCTGGCACTGATTCCCTGGGATCACAGGGTGCAGGGACTGACTGAGGGCCACAGTGACCCTGTTATTCCCAACCTTTTCCCTAATCTCTACAGTTTTGTGGATGGGGTCCATGCCTGTGGTGCACGGCTCTGCTTCTCTCAGGGCACACAAACACACGCCTCACTTCATCCCGAGCACTTCTCCAGAATAGCATCACCCACGGGAAAAATCCAGGGAGGGGGAGAGCACTGCAAACTGCCAGGAGCCAGCAGTTCACCACTGCCACAAAAGCAGAGCAGAGGACACCCCGCTCTCCCCTCTGCGCCGGTAGCTGTTGACCTAATTAAAGATTTATTTAATAAGAGCGGGAGCGCGGAGCAGGAGGCCTGTCATGCATCACCGCTGTCTGACGAGGCGCTTCATGACAGCCTCAATCTTTTCCCCGCTTCCCCAACAAAACCGAGCTGCCATCGGGGCCTGGCTGCTCGTCAGGACAGCACAGCCACCGCCACAGCCCAATTAAGGACATTCCTCCATCCTCCGAACCGGGATGCGGAGCCCGGGGGCAGCCGGCACGGTGCCAAGCGCAGAGGCCTTGGGGTGGCACCGCATCCCTGTGGTCCACGTGTCCCCATTCCCAGTGCTCCTGGGGGGGTGCTGAGGGGCTGGAAGGGCTCACCTTGAACGAGCAGGCGCGTGGTGTGCACGGCCTCCCCCTGGATGCTGTACGCCCGGCAGGTGTAGGCACCTCTGTCCTCCCGGCTGATGGAGAGCACCGTAAGGCTCCCGTCGCTCACCTGGGAACAACAAGGGAAGACCCTTGGAGCGTGGGCAGGGACCCCCCCCCAGGGAGATGGGGGAAGACCCTCCCTCCCTGCTTCCCACGGCAAGGGAGCTGCCGGTGCTTTTAGGGCCGGATGAGAGACGGGTTTCCCCGCTCTGCAAGGCTTCGGATATTAATAAACCAACACACGCGTTTCTGCTCGACGCCAAGGGGAAGGGAAGGAAAAAAAATAAACCATAAAATAAATAAATAACCATCGCAACGCGTTTATCTCCCGGAGAAGCGACTGGCAGGCAGCAGGATCCAAACTGCTCCTGCCAAGCGCCCCGGCACCTCGGGGTGCTTCAGAAGGAGAAGGATGCCTCGTTAGAGCATTCCCTGCTCCCCAGGGACCAGCCCCACTGCTGAGGTGGGAAGTGAGGGGGAGACCCCAGCCTGGCCACTGTCCTCCCCCCATAGGGACACCTCACAGCTGGAAGAGGAGTGGACAGGTTGCCCCTCGGGGACACAACAGAGGAGGGATGGATATGGGACCATCACCCTCGGGGTAGCAGCACCCCCATGCACAGGGAGCCCTCCCAGCCAGGCTTCCCCCCCACCTTATTCTGCCTCATCCTTCTATTTCAATTAGTAACAAATGATTCCTAATTACTCTCATTAGTGCCTGCGCTGATTCCAATGCCTGATTTACCAATTACAGCTCAGGGGGGAATCTCTGCCTGGGAGCCTCTGGGATGCAAAAAGTGTCCTGAAGGGGAGGGGAGGAGGGGAAATCCTCCCTGCTCAAACCCCTCCTGCATCCATCCCTGTTGGAGGACACACATCCCCAGGCTGCAGCCCCCATCCCATCTCCAGGGTCCCAGCCCCTGGGATGGGTCCACAGGGAGCAGCTCGGGTGTAGGAGTAGGGCTGTCCCAAGCACCTGGGGGGGTCTCCAGCCCTCACCCAAGGGCAGCCAGCATTACAAGCTGCTGCTCAGCAGGGATGGGGAGGGGGAAAATGGGCATTTCAGCATGGAAAAGTGCTGAGAAAGCATGTCTGGCTCCAGGCGCGGCGGAGCTGCCGCCGCCATAGTCCTGTCGATACTGTCCCTGCCAGCGGGGACCCCAGGAGTCCCCACAGCAGCCCCCACCAGAGACCCCGTCCCCTGCCACCTACCTGGTACTTGCCATTGTCACCCAAAAGGTCTCCCTCTCTCAGCCAGGTGACGATGGGCTTGGGGTTCCCGAACGCCATGCAGGTCAGGGTGACACTGCTGCCCTCCTTCGCCTCTACGTACTGCGGCGGGGTCTCCGTGAAGGTGGGGGGAGCTGCGGGGCACAGGAGACCACCGTGACCCCCCCAGTTCCACTGTGGCTCCGGGGGGGCACAGGGACAGAGGGGCAGCTGCCTGCACACCAGGGACACCCTAAACATCCTCGCAGCGGGGCTGAGACCACCCCAAAAGCGATCGAGGCTGCAGGGACGGGGATGACAGCGGCTCTCACAGCAGCTGTCCCTGGGGACACCGACCAAGGGCTGCCACACCGCACCCCAGCCCTGTCCCCTCTCCTCCCCACCAGCTCCGGGGCACGGCACCGCGTCCCCCCCCCTCGCTGCACATTAACTCGCTCTTGTCAAAACATGGGAAAACACCGCAGTGCAGATCGAAAGGCTCCTTCCTGATGAAAGAGGCTGGCAGGATTACAGCCCGCCCCTAATTACCCGCGGTTGTTAAAGCCCACTTTAGAGGAAGACAGGTTGGCAATTTAATCTGCTCGGGGAAAAAGGAAAAAATAAAGAATTATATTTTGTTTCTCCCCAAATGATTTTTATTTTCCCCCTAAGAAAATTAAGCGTTGTAATGCGCTGGGGGAAAGCCACAGCCTTCACCCTGAAAGCAATCCCTCGAGCTGGAAGGATTATGGTTATTATATTGTTATTAAGCCCCTGCACACCCTGTGCTGTATAAAACCCCCAAAATGCCCCATTTTGCCAAGAGGAGGGACAGGGCATCTGGGGCCACTTCCAGTCTCTTGAGCTGGCGGTTTGCAGGATCTGTACACGTGGTGGAGGTGGACCATGCACCATCCTCCTCCTCCTTCTCTTTCCCTCTTTCCCAAACCCTCGGAGCTCATTAGCAGGCAGGGGGAAAGCAGGAAACGGCAGGCAGGGCAGCAGGCAGGGATGGGGCTGGTGGCCTGCACAGCCCCGCTTGCAAAGCTCCTGCTCACTAATTGGGCTCAATTAGGTGGCTCTGCTCCATGCCATCCCCCCAAAGGTTAAATTGATTGCTCAAGGTCAAGGCAATACCAGCAAGGAGCTGCCGGTGCCCACATCTCCTCTCCAGCCACCCCACTGCAGCAGGAGAGGCACAGCCCTGCTGCCGGGCTAAAAATAAAGATCTCTCTCCCGATGTGCAGAATGACAATTTGCTAATTAGTTTAATATACGGCCTTAATAAAATGAAAAAGTAATTTGAGTAAATCTGAATTTCAAGAAAACAAAGATTTGATTTTCTGATCTGTTTGTTGAGAGGAGATTCGTTCCCAGCCCCTGTTCTTGATGTCTCTCCTTTAAACAAGCTCCACGCAATTAAACTGAGGAATCCCTAATAAAACTTTGTCCCTTTTGAAGTCGTGGCCAGCCTGGACGGCTCCAGGCTCCTGTGTCTGCGAGGCACAGGTGCTGCTGAGGTCCAGCATCCATCAGAAACCCGGCATCCACCCGAAATCCCATTCTGGCACCGCTCACCCTGCACCGTGAGGTGGACCCAGCTGCCGTTGTGGAAGGTGTCGTACTGCTGGTCCAGCATGAGCACTTTGCACTCGTACCAGCCCTGGTCCTCGGAGCGCACCTGCTCAATGCGCAGGGAGGCTTTGTCGTGCAGGCTGGCCCGGCCTGTGGGAGAGCACAACATCAGCTCCACGGCCCCCCGACACCGGGGCAGCCCCCCGAGGTGCTGCCGCAGGGGACACCCCGTCCCGCCCCGGTTTGGGGGCTGGTGGAGCCTCCTGGTCACGGCCAGCCGGTGACACACTCGCCCGTCTGGGGATGGCAGAGCCAAGCTGCCACGGCCAGGTAAGGTGCCTCGAGCGGCGTCTGCCCGCAGTGACACCGGCCTTCTGCTCCCAGCCGGGGGCTGGCGGCGGGACAGCCGGCATGCAGGCGTGCCCCAAAGCCTTCCCTGGCCTGGGAGACTCCCAAAAAGCAGGGCGGCCCTGAGCTGACCCGGTGCACAGCCCCCCAAAAAAAAAAAAATGGGTCAGGAGCAAACCAGTCCAAACCTCCACCACCAGGTTGTGGCACTGCTCATTCATGAGCTGAGTTTGGCAGGGCTCAGCCCTGCCTGAGTGGTGCATCTTTGCTGCTGCAGCATTTCTCAGGGAACAATTTGGGCAGAGAGCCCTGCAATACCCAAGGAAGATCCCCAGGACAGCGCTCACCAGGGAATGAGATACCAAAATGGGCCTGCCCCACCACACCAGCCTCCTCAGGGCTGGTCCCCGGGTCACACCCCCCACCAGAGGACACCGGCCACGTGTCACAGGCGGCACATTGGCGAGCGGCCACATGGGCTCTGCAGCTCCAACCTGTCACCTCCGCCCGGCACGTGGCCCTGGCTCCATCCCCCCAGGGTCCCTCCCCAGGCTCACAGCTGCTCCGGGGCGCAGCGGCAGCAGCCACCGCCACCACGCGTCACCCTGGGTTTCTCTGCCTCGCTTGCTCCCGTCCCACGCAGCCCAGCTGGCTTCCTAACGCTGCTGCTTAATTAAAACCAACTGGGTGGAAAGCGAGCAACGAGAGGCAGAGCCCGCGTGGTTTCCGACGGAGGAACGGATGGAGCGGAGCTGTGCATCCCAGGCTGCGCCAGCGGCCAGGACCTGGCACGTCCCCCCCCGTCCCCCTGCGCCCCCAGGACTCACCGGCATACTCTGGGTCGACATGGGGAGGGTAAAACCCAAACTTGATGAAGATGGGGATGGGGACGCCGAACTTGAACCACTCCACGACATAGGGAGGGGGCTGTCCCGTGAGCGGGTGGATCACGTCGCATGGCAGGATCACGCTCTCGCCAGCGCGAGCGGTCACGAACTCGGGCTCCTCCCTCGAGCCGAGGGCACCTGCGAGGGGGCGAAGGAACAAACTGTGGCTGATCCCACTGCTGGACCCCAGCATCAGACTGGGACCCCCAGGAGAGCCACAGCAAAGGAGATGCCTGTCCCCAGCTGCCTGTCTCCACTGAGGGCAGCCCCTGGATCTCCAAAACCAAGAGGGAGTCCCCAAGCTCCTCCACTCAGCTCCAGGGCCACCCTGAGCCACCACAAGACACATGAAAGGGGCCATTAGCACTCACTGCTCCAGGACAGCTTCCCAATCTCTGCACCAGGGCAAGGGTGCTGCCCTGAGACCCCGCAGGGGTTTTGGGGACCCCCTGCTCTCAGCAGAGGGGGGCACAGAGCATGCCTAGCACTGCTCCCCATCTACCAGCACCAGCAGGGCTACCCCATGTCCCTATGGCAGGGGAAAGGCTGCTTTTAGCAGCCATGCTTGTGCCCTTACATCTTCCAGCAAGCATGCAGGGACCACTGACCACAGCTCTGATGTGCCAGCCCAGTGACCCAGCTCTCCTGCAGCTGCCAGGGTGGGCTGAGCCCCTGGAGCAGCGATGCTCCAGCCAAGTACACGTGTCCTCGGGCATCCCTGAGAGCCCCGAGCCTGAAACCCGGCTGCGACCTGCACGTCAGGTCTGTCACCCTGCTCCTCCCAGCTGGGTAATTACAGGGGACTTTGGTCTCAGCTCCGAGGCTGCTCCACCCCGGCTGTGCCGCCCTGCTCGCTGCAGCCTGGCGTCATCCTGCTCTGCCAGCAGCAGCAAAGCTGCATCCTCAGCACAGCGTTCGGAAAGGGAGAGAAAGGGAAACCCAGGGCTGGGGGGAAGCCAAAGAGGGGGGGTCCCCAAAACTAGGTTCAGACCCACATCTCCCTTCCCATCAAGGAAGGGCCCCCCATTTTCCTGGCACACGCGGCTGCCGCCTGCTCCGGGGGGATGCTCGGGGAGGGATGCTCGGGGAAGCACGTTCCCACTCCTCCGCGCTGCTCCTCGGGGCCGCCGGTGATTGGCGGCGAGTGACATCACCGCTTCCCCGCCGCGGGAGCCGAGCATCACCGGCTATTTTTGGCTCTGGCACAAGCGCGTACCGGCGAGAGGCCCGTGATGTGCCACCCCACGGGCCCACCAGCCGAGTGTCCCCGTGGGAAGGGCAGCGGGCAGAGCCGGTCGCGGCTCTCACAGGGCACACGCACGGCGTGCCACCGCAGAGGGTCACAGCCTGACGGTCACCCAAGTGTCCTTAGCCCCCACACCACCAGCAAACTGGGCACCGGCGCCCGTTCAACTGGGAGGGCTGGCTGGTGGCAGCGGGGCAGGTGAGGCCGGGGTGCAGAGCTGAGAGCTTTGCGAGGAGCCGACGCTGCATTACACGCCCACTGCAGGCACCCGGCCCGGCTAGGGGGGTCCTGCACAGCCCCAGAGCCGCCTGGACCCCGCCGGGGAGGGGGGATCGCTGAGCACACACGTGCACTGTGCATGCACACACGCGCACCCCGCTTTGCACCACGCCGACAACACTCTCACACCTCTCCATCCCTCGTTATCGCTGCATCGCCAACGAGCTCACATTCGCACCCTGTCAGCAGGGACGGTGTCAGCCCTCCCCTGCCGCCCCGGCACAGAGCTGTTAGAGCCCGTCCTGACCCCGCTGCGCCCATCCCGGGCCTGGGAGGGGGGCTGCGCTGCAAAGCTGGAAGCCCCCTCCCTGCCCATGGTCCTCCTGCGCCGATCGGGGACAGCGCCTGTCACGTGCTGCTCAAGAGCATCCAAGGACGCGCTTCGCCGGCCGCCTTGCCCGAGCGAGCGGGTCCCCAGCACCTCACTGCCTGCAAAGCCACAGCCTTCCTTCCACCGACAGCAGAGGATGGAGAGGGCAGCACTGCAGCCCCTTCCCCAGCCCCCTGCCTGCCCCAGCCCACCAGCTCCCGGCGCACCAAGGCGGGATCTTGGTTTCCAGCCCAACACCAAATGGAGCCTGGGATGCTGACGCTTGCCCAGCTGGAGCAGCTCTTTGCCCAAGAGGCCACCCAGACACCCCGGGGATGGGCGCCAGGGCGTCACGCGACGCCAGGATCCCCTGAGTGGCTCCCCAGCAAAGCAGTGGGTGACGTTCCCCGGGGAGGGGACGAGCCAGCCGCTCCGCCGGACCCACGGCTGGCCACGGCTGCCCGGGCGTAGGAAAATAGGTCAGCCCCGGCAGCTCTGAGCGCCGGTGTCTGATCGCAGGGCCGGTGGGGAATTGCACGCACGGCTGAGCATCACCTCCCCACGCGCACGGCCGACTGGCAGCCACGGCGGATAACCGGCCCCCGGCTCTCCCCAGCTGCCACCCGCCCCGCTACCGCCCCGTGCCCTCCTGTCCCCGCTTCCAGAGAGGCCTGAAAGCAAGGGGAGATGCTTCACAAACCCTCTTTGGGTCTCCTCAACTTCCCAACCCAACCCCGCGCTCCCAGCCCTGACCGGGTTTTCCTGCCTAGTCCAGGCCAAGAAGGCACGCGAGCGATGGGAGGCTGCAGCTCTCGATCCAAAGTGTTTCTCACCCCCACATTTGTAGGGAAACGCTTGAAAACAACTCGCAGACGCCAGAAGAAACAGAGCACAAATAGACGGGGTATTTTTAAACCCGCTTGGTCTTCCCAGCCAAGTTCAGAGGGGCTTCAAGGCTTAACCTGCAGTTTGGAAATACGGTCGCCATCAGCGAGCAGCAGCAGGGATGGGAGCCCTGAATCCCCCTCGGTGCGGGAGCTCACGTGAAGCTGGGGGATGCCTCGTAAAGAAAAACAAGTAATCAACAGGCTTCATCATCCAAGCAGATCCAGGGAAAATAAAAGCACGCCGCGTGCCAGGAGGCAAGAATACAAGATGCGGAGGTGGAGTTGAACAGCATCCCAAAGGGAGAGGAGGGAAGGCTGCTGCCACAGAGACGGTGCCACCACGGGGCTCCCCAGGATGGTGATGCCAGGGATGGGGAGACCCTCACCTGGATCTGGGCATCCAATTCCTCCCATCCCAAAGGCAGAGACATAATGTGACACAGGACTCGGTGAAGCTGAAGGCTACCAGCATCTCAGGTGCACTCGCTAAAGCAGGACCCTGCCTGCAGGTGCTTTGTGACAAGGAGGTGGCCATGGTTTGGAAACCACCAGGTTTCCAAAGGAACCAATGCCTGGGAAGGCTGTCCTGCCCAGGACAGCGGACACCCATGCCCTGAGTCAGAGAGGTGACCTACTATCTCCTTGCAGCCTGCTAACAAGCATGGAGGCACCACTATCTGCTTCCAGCACTGCCCCCCTACCCCAGGCACTCATCCCCATCCCTGTCCCCCCGAGCCTGTGGACCTCTCCTCCCTGCCGAGCACAGACGAGATCTGCTCTGACACATCCCGCTCACATCGGTGGAGGCGGGATATGGCAGGGATCTCTGAGGACAAGGCCACCAGCGTGGCATATGGAGGCCAGCAGGGAAGGAGAGCAGGCAGCCATCGCTGTGAAACGAGGAGGGAGGCGACTGCAGCCCGTGGGGGGGACAGGGACAATGTGCTGCAGGGACCCCGCTGTAAAGGCACTGCATGGGACACCTGCCCCCCCCAAGTATCTCGGGGGGTTGCACCCCCTCCTGCAAACTCGATCCCCCCCTCCCTGGCCAGGGGTACTGAGAGCCCCCCAAAAGCCTCTGCCTATCCCCTGATGGGGGGCAGCCCCGGAGCGCAGCCCTCGCCCCCTCCCCCAGCTGGAAAGCAGCATCTGGGCTTTCAGCGCGATTCCTGCGTTTTAAACCCGATTTTCCAGATGGATGGAGGGCAGCGCGCAGGTCAAGCGACATGCCTCAAGGTCACACGGGGCCAGCGAGGAGAAGGATTAGCTGCTGTCAGGGGTGGCTCAGTGCCCCATTCACAGTGAGACAGTGACTCTAAACCCCGTCCCTGGCACAAGGGGTGTCCTGTGGGACCACCAACACCACCCCCATGCAGGCTGGCAGCTTCCCTGGCATCCCTAGGGGAGTGTGCATGCACAGAGTGCTGCCCCACAACAGCCCCATGGCGGGTCCCTGCTCCCTGGAATGACTCAGGTGGGAACATGCCTGGCTGGGCAGCAGCTCAGTGAGCACGTGGTAGCACAGGATGGTGCTCGGAGAGGCACAGAGATGGGGCAAGTGAGAAAATCACTTCCCTGCAGTCACCCTACTCCCACCTGGGGGTCCCCTGCGCCCCCTCCCTCTAAACACCACCTGGAGTAGAGCATCCCCAAGTGCCACATGGCAGCTGCCTCGTGGGAACCATCATCTCCCAGCAACAACCAGCAGCTACCTGTGCATTCCCCGAGAGCTCCCTTCGCATGCCACAGGGCTGAGAGAGCTGCTGCAGTGGGAGGCTGGAGCCCAAATCCATCCCAGAGGAGACCTCCTGCACCTGGAAGCACTGCCAGGGTGCTGTGCCCCCCAGCCCAGCCCCACACAGCACCAGTACCCATGGGCAGGCTGCCCATTGCCCTCTCCACAGAGTAGCATGTACTACTCCAGTGCCTTCACAGCCTTCCTGGAAAACTGGGATGCAGGCAGCGCTCCGAGCTGCCCACCAGCAGCTCCTGAATCACACTGTTCCTGGCTCAGGCAGCCCTCCCACCAACGCCAGCCTCTCCACTGTGGAGCGGGAGGAAGGGAGTTGTTTTTCCAAAGGCCAGCTGGTCGCTCAGGGCTCCCAGCTCAGGAGATGCCTCCCGCAGGGAAAGGGAGAGGGAAGGATCCTCCATCGGCACAGAACAGGGCTGGACCCACTGCTTGCCCGTCTGCAGGGCTTCTCTTCCAGCCTCAAGGCACGACCTCCAAGGCGAAGGACTAGAGGTGAATGGGAGCTGTTCCACCCTGGTGCAGCTCCGGAGAGGAACTTGCAGGGGTCGCCCATCGCCAGTGAAGCATCTTCCAAGTCAAAAGGCAACCGAGCCGGGAAAGCACCACTGCCAAACCCCTCCGGCAAAGCCAAGTCATCGACCGAGACGCTCACACCCCTCCCTGCCCCGCGCTCTCCCATCCAACAGGTCCAGAGGAGCACAAATCCTCCAGGGAACGATGGAAACGGGAGCTGGGCCAATGCCCTTGGCCGTTCCCGGTGCCAAACCATTGCCTTGCCAGAAGAGAGTGGGGCCAAAGCCGCACGTGCCAAATCCGGCGGCTGCCAGTCCAGACCCCTCCATGGCCGAAGAGGCACTATCCCTTGTGTGGAAGAGCTCTGCACCGGGATCGAGCAGGGAATGCAGCGCCGGCACCGCCGCGCCAAACCGCTCCAACCGGCCAAGGTCAGTGCCAGGAGCATCGCCCGCCGTGGTGTCCAGGGAACCTCCTTGACAGGAGTCCTCGCCTGGGGCTGGCAAAGCCAAATTCTCTCTCCGCAAACCCGCCTGCCGGATCCACGAGCCTCCCCACTCACCGTGTGGTGCCACAGCATCACACCCGTGGGAGAGGGAGGAAAAGCCCCTCGGTGTGACGGCACTGCTGGGAATGCCAGGAGGCCGGATCCCTCCTCTGACACCCACTCCCGGTGCGGTCACGTCCTGGCTCTCCTCCCCCACTCCATAAGAAGGGATAACGCACCCTCCTTCCTCCTCTGAGCCGATTAATGCCTGGAAAGCCCTCGGAGAGCCAGGCAAGAGGGCTGCCCAGGGCCAGCGCTGCTGCTTCTCAGCTTGGCAAGGAGAAGGGAGTGTGGGAGGAAGGCCACGGCAAGGGGAAAAGCCCCGGTGAGGGCATCGGCGCACGGCGAGCCCCAGCTCTGCTCTGAAGCCCTGTCCCCAAGCAATTCAGGGTGACAGCCCCCCAGGAGGAGAGGACAGCGCTGGGGTTAAGGGGTTATACAGCTGGGGTGAGCCCCGTGGGCTCCCCATCTCCCCACAGCCCTGCACGGGGGCCACGGCAGCCCACAGCACCCCCTCAGCCGGCGCCCACCCCCGCATTACTCACGGCGCGCTCATTCACCGCGTACACGCTGCTCCACACGCACAGCACCCCCGTGCCCGGGGGTTCCCGGCGCCCACCCACCCCCGCCACCGCTTCCGGAGCCCCATCCCGGCGGCTCCGGGGTATTTCCAAGTTCCCGAATGCTGAACTCGGCTGCTCCGCTCCTCTCCCAGGCTGAGCATCCCTCCACAAACCGCTGCTGCAAACCTCTGCCTCACCACACTGCAGCACGCATTTCAGGAAGGCAGCAGCCGGCCACGGCTCGGGAAGAGGGGATACGTACCCCCAGATGGGGCAGCCCCCATGCTGCCCCCCCAAAAGCACAGCCCCATCCTGACACACCCCCCCCGACTCCAAGGAGTCGGCTGCCAGGCGAGGGTGCCAAGGGACCGTGGCATGGTACAGATCTGACCCTGTGGGCTCGAGGAGTGCTGTGAATTGGGGGGGACTGCAGTACCCTGGCAGTGCCCCCTCCCAGCCCACCCGTGTCCGCCGAGCCGGCGTTCCCCCCCGCCACGGGGAGGGGAGTGGTGGTGGCTGCCAGCCAGGCATCGCCTGCTGCCGGCAGCCACTGCATCCCCATGGGCAGGGCACAGTGACACTCAGGGCACAGCTCCTGCGTCTCATCCCGGGTACGGACCACGGGGTAGCTGGGATGACCCGTGCCCCTTGAGGAACCAGCGGCAGAGATGGGGGACGGTGCTGCACCAGCGGCAGGCTGCTCCCCTCTACCTGCAGGGATGGCTCGGGGGGGTGGGAGGGGGCTGGCAGCCGAAGGAAAAGAAGCCGGAGCAGGAAAATCAGGGTTATTCCCCACTGCCGTCTCCCTCCTGACCTTGGACAACCCTGTGCCTCAGTTTACCCCAGCACGGCAGCCAGCCTGCAGTGGGGGGGGGAAGGAGGGCAGCCTCTGCCGGGCGGGGGGGGAGCAAAGTCACCCCCAAAGCCGCAGCCGGGGCGCTGCAGGGGAAGGAGACGAATCTCTCCTGCATTTCTCCTTGCCCAGCCGGGCTACCCTTGCAGGGAAGGGCAAACGCTGCCCGCACCCTTCGGCGCTGCCGCAGGCGCTTCTTCCCCAGGACGAGAGAAAAAACACGGATGCGAGAAATGCTTTCCCATCCCTGATCAAGGGGGACACTCAGCCAGCCGTGCCCCGCGCCAGGACCCGCAACCCGCTTGCCTTCTCCCAGAGGGAATTTCCAACCCTTGGGCAGAGGCTCCGCCGCACCGAGAAGAGCGCGGCTTCCCGAACTTCCCCAGCTGCAGCCGCTGCCCTCGGGGAGGTCACGGCCAGCCCCGCCGAACGCCTGCGGAGGGAGGATGCGCCGGGCGCTCCCGGCTCCCCCCCGGCAGCGGAGGATGAAGGAATCGCCAGCGCCCCGCCGCAGCGGGAAGAGCTCGGTCCCCGCGCCGGCAACGGGGAGGACGCGAACCTCGCAAAGCCCCTCCGCAGCCGCAGTCCTTCCCCCACCGCCCCTTCTGCCCGGGACGCGATGCCCTCCCCGGTGCGCGCATCCCTCCCGGTCCATGCGCATCCCCCCCGCCGCACCCGGTACAAGAAGGGGGAGGGGGGGGGGCACGCACAGGGCGGCCCCGCAGTCCCCCGGGGCTAACCCCGGCGGACAACACCCCCGCGGCCCCGCACTCACCTTGGACGGGCAGCCCGCGGGCGCCGAGCACACTTGCTACCAAAGCGGCCACATACCAAATCATAGTACTACCGGCCCCCGGTGCGCAGCATCTTCCGCCCGCCGGGCGGCCCGGCCGGGGCGGGGCGGGGCCGGGCCGGGGTGGCCGTGTCCGGGCAGGGCTCGGCGGGGCCGGCGGCGCGCTCGGGGCCCGAGGGGCGGCTCCGGGGCGGCTCAGGGCCGGCCGCCCTGCGCTGCGCCCGCGCCCATGCCCGCGCCGCACCTGCGCTCCGCCGCGCGGTGCAGCCAAGCCTGCGCCCTTTAGCGGCTCGGCACCGCCCCCGCGCGCCGCCCATTGGCCGCGCCCCTGCCGGAGTGGGCGGTGATTGGCCGCCGGCGCGGCCCGGGCCGGTTCAAGGTGGGTTGCCGCGCACGGGGCCCCCGCGCCGCAGTATCATGCGCACTGCTGGGAGCGGCGGGCACCGCCGCGGGCACGGGCACGGGCACGGGCACGGGCACGGACAGGGCAGCGCCGCGGCCCCGCGCACAGCTGTGCCCTGCGCCGCTCGGTGTCGGCTCCTCGCCCGCGGATGTGTCACCGCACCGGATCGATGTCAGCTCCATGTCCGCGGATGTGTCACCGCACCGGCTCCGTGTCACCCCCCTGTGCGCGGATGTGCCGCCGCACCGGCTCGGTGTCACCTCTCTGTACACAGATGTGTCACCTCCCTGTGTCCAGTTGTGCCCCTGCACCAGCTCAGTGTCACCTCCCCATCATCAAATGCCCCCCTGCACCAGTACAGCATCACTTACCTGTCTCCAGATGTGCCGCTGCACCGGCTCGGTGTCACCTCTCCATCCCCAAATGTGCCCCTGAGCCAGTACAGCATCACCTCCCTGTCTCCAGATGTGCCTCCGCATCAGCTCAGTGTCACCTCCTTTTCTTCAGATGTGCCCCTGCACTGTCTCAGTGTGACCTCCCTACCTCCAAATGTGCCCCTGCATCAGTTCAGTGTCACCTCCTCATCCCCAGATGTGCCCCTGCCCCAGTACAGCATCACTTACTTGTCTCCTGATGTGCCCCTGCACTGGCTCGGTGTCACCTCCCTGTCTCCAGATGTGTCACCTGCACAGGTAGAACATCACCTCCCCATCCCTAGATGTGTCACTGCACTGTCTCAGTGTCACCTCCTCATCCCCAAATGTGCCCCTGCACCAGTGCAGCATCACCTCCCTGTCTCCAGATGTGTCCCNCCAGTACAGCATCACTTACTTGTCTCCTGATGTGCCCCTGCACTGGCTCGGTGTCACCTCCCTGTCTCCAGATGTGTCACCTGCAACAGCTTAGTGTCACCTCCCTGTCTCCAGATGTGTCACTGCACTGTCTCAGTGTCACCTCCTCATCCCCAAATGTGCCCCTGCACCAGTGCAGCATCACCTCCCTGTCTCCAGATGTGTCCCTGCATTGGCTTAGTGTCACCTTCTTGCCTCCAGATGTGTCCCTTCACTGTCTCAGTGTCACCTCTTGATCTCCAGATGTGTCACCACACCAGATCAGTGTCACCTCCCCCTCCCCAAATGTGCCCCTGCACCTGTACAGCATCACCCACCTGTCTCCAGATGTGTTACCGCACCAGCTCAGTGTCCCCTCCCTGTCTCCAGTTGTGCCCCTGCACTGTCTCGGTGTCACCTCCCCATCCACAGACGTCACCGTACCGACACACTGTCACCTCCGTCTCCAGATGTGCCCCCTGCACCAGCACAGCATCACCTCCCTGTCCCCAGATGTGCCCCTGCATTAGCTCAGTGTCACCTTCCCTGTCCCCAGCTCTGCCACCTGCTCCTGCTGCCACACACCACCCCTCTGAGATCTGAGATGCCGGTGCCACTTTGTGCCTACCCAGGGTCACGTCCCTACCTCAGGCTGAGCCACCCACCCCCTGCACCAGCTCCACATCACCCCGACCAACATCAGCTGTGCCATCCGTCCCTGCCACTCTGCACCACCTTGGGGTCACCTCCCTGCCACTCTGCACCACCTTGGGGTCACCTCTCTGCCACCTGTTTGGTGTCACTGCAGCCTTGTAACCCCATATCAGCTCAGGGCAACATACCTGCCACCATCTGTGCCCTTGCAGAGGTTCAGGGTCATCACCACCCCAGCCTGGGATGGACATGTCACCTGCCCCCTGCACCAGCTTGCTGTCACCTCTGCCAGGCCCCTGCACCGCTCAGTCTCCTTCTTGCCACCCCCCACAGCTTGGTGTCACATTCACCTGCCATCTCACACCCAGCACTGGCTCAGTGCCACTGTCACACCTTGCACCAGCTGTATCATCCTCCTGCCCACCTGCACCACCTGTGCCACCGGCCCTGCTCCTGCTCTACACCCACCACTTGCTCCCATCCCTGACCCCCTGTGACAGCTCTGTGTCACCCTGTCCCTCCCCCCTTGTCCCCTGCTGGTCACAGCCCATTTGAAAGGCGAGAATTGGGGTTGACTCCAATGGAAAATGGGTAGAGGACAGAAAGTCCCCCTGTGCTCAGCCCACCTCTCCTCCCTGCAAAGACCTGGTGATGCCAGATGGGCAAACAGCCGGGCTGGCTCCCTGAGGAGCATGCCAGCCACAGAAACGGGCCACTGAACTTCCCCGGAGATGACAGCCAGCCCAGGGGGAGACAGCCTCACACGGAGAGGGGGACACACCATTTCCCCCCTTGCCCACATCATTGGGAGAGTATCTGGGGGAAGGTCTGAGCAGCTGCTTGTCTTCCCACCTCTTCCCATGCCGGAAACAGGCAAAAAAATCCCAGCCCCTGCAGAGGATGAGGAGCATCCCACACCTTCTGCCCGGAATTACATTTATTGAGGGTCAGACACTGGCATGCTCCGGGCAGGAGGGGGAGCATCCCCCGCCCAGCCCGAGCTCACGCGAGCTCCCGGGCGGTTTGCTTCCCTAGCAAATTCCAAGACCTCATAAAAGCCTGACTCAGCTCTTAGTGCTGAGGTCTGAAGTGAAAGCTTGCAGATATTCATAGGGGGTTGGCACAGCCAAGGCTGACCCTTGTGCTGGGGCAGTTTTGCTCTCCTGGTTCCTGAAAGTCTGGTTTGCAGCAGCCTAGGAAGGCAGAGCCCCTTGGCCAGCACCCTCCCCTTGCCAGTCCTGCCACCTTCAAAGCACCCAAAAATTCCCAGCCATCCCCCACTGACTTCAAAGGAGCAAGCCCAAGGCTGGCAGAGCTCCATTTACTCTCACCCAGCTGGACACAGCTGATACATTCCGGTCCAGCTGGAGTCCATGTCACCACCCAAATCATCTCCATGTCTTTAGCTGGGTTTTGCCACAATTTCAAAGAGGAAAAAAAACAGTTTGGGGCATTGATGGCACATATGGTAACACAGCCCAGCCCAGAGGCACCAGGAGCCTATGGTGGATGGGGGGGACCCAGTCCTGATCCCAGTGTCTGCATCCTCAAGCCAAGCCCAGCACAGGGGCCCCACCAACATCCCTCAAGAAACTGGAAATATCGGCTTGGGTTGGAGCATGGCTGTCAGTTCACACCCTTGTTTCTCCAGACTAATTTGCTGGTTTTATGAAATCCATTCCCCACTGTTTTCACACTTCTCTCCCTCTCTATTTATAGCTGGGTTTATTTACATGAGCAGGGCACTCCGTGTACTTGCACGTCAGTCTGTGGTGGCAGAACCGGGAGCGGGTGAAGGAATCAGTGGCAAGGCAAGGAGCACCCCGAGTCCTTGGACATGGCCACCTCCTGCCTGCCACGTGGGAGGCAGGCAGGGAAGCCTCCACGCCGGGATGGGAGATGCCAGGGGATGAGCTGGAACCAAATCAGCCACACATACACCGGACCCACACATACCCCATCCTGTCCCCAGCCCCGCAGGGCACGGCAGTGCAGTTCCCATGGGATTCAGGCTGCCCTGGAGCCAGCACCTTCCCAAACCACAGGCCCTTCTTCTTCCAAGCTGGAGCAGCTCTGGCAGCAGCATTTTGCTGACCTGAGCCTTACCTGTCTGTTGTGCTACTGACCCAGGGATGCCCCTGCCCTGGACACAGCCATGGCAAGCAGAGTTTACCACACAGAGCTGAGTCACTTGACAAATGCCCAGTGATAAATTCACCACTTTGCCTAACAAGAGGGATAAAAATGTTGTTGCTTTTTTTTTAAAAAACCCACTCTGACAGATGAGGCAGGAGTTCTCAGATTAGCACAAGAGCAAGAGACTTGGGGGATGCAGCTCTCTCCGTCACACACAGTCATCTGGGAGAGATGCAGCCCTACTTGAGCCCTGCTGCCATTTCCCTGGGACTTGGCTCTTGGGAACAAGGACAGAGGTTTAGGTTTGGGTACCAGCACAAGGAAAGTGGGAATGAGCTGCAACTCAGGCTGAAAATTCAGAGATATCCATCACTTGGAGCAGTGAGGTTCTGGATCACTGCACACAGGGAAACAAAAATATTTGACATTGGAGAGGGTCTGATCTGAAAATGGGACTTCCCAGGATATGTGTTACTGCCTCTCTCCCCTTAACTCCTCACTGCCCATGACCTGGCCAGGAAAGCAGGAATCTGGACCCAGCTGCCTCCCACCTGGTCGAGGGATGCTCCAACCCACACTGGGCTGAGTCTCCCTGCACAAGTACATGATTATTCACAGCCTCCAACATTTGCATGGTGGAGTCACGAGTCTCACAACACCTGATCTCCCGGGAGAGCTGCCTCCTGTACTTCAGGAGGGAACGGCCCACATTCCAAAAGTGGGACTCGGTGTCTCACAGCATCCCACATCGCCCAGCTGTCACCTCCTCCCCTCTCTGTGCTGGGACCGGGAGAAGGGAGCCCACCCCACCCCTTCCACACAGCGAGGAAGAGCAGCAGGGCAGGGACACGCAGGAACCCTGAAAATTCGGGAGCTGAGCGTGGAAGTGCTGAGCCAGCCTGCAGTGTCGCTGCGTGCACAGCGAGGCTGCTTTTTGGAAAGATCAGAAAAAGCCCCCTCCATGGGATCTGTGAAGGACGAGCAGGCAGATGGGCTCGACTCACGCCGAGCTGGGGTCAGGCTCGTTC